CTGACAAGGGGCATCTTAGTAACTATATCAAATGATGCCCATTTATTACAAAACCAATATATCTTACTGCACATTAAAGTTACTCCTCTTCGGCTTTGTAGCGTTTGATTGTTAAATCAAAATATTTCAACAAACAGCATATTCTATAACATGGAGATGTAGACAGTTCTCAAATATGAAACTTAAGATGTCACTGTATGAGGATTGTACTGCTTCATTGTACGTTTTTGGATCAAACTTTGTTTTACTCACATTTTTCATCGGCTTAAAACAAGTAAATAACAGCACCATGAGGAAAGCTAGGTATTATGCATCTTAAAACTATCACCATGTTCAAGAACATAGTAATACTCATCTTCCATATATTTAATGCATGTAAATGCTGTTGCATGTTTCTTATTGGTAAAAACAACAATGAGAATTCAGAACAAATGTAATTAAATATTATCTATAAAATCGGCCCTATGTAATTTGATTCCTACAGATCAACTTCTTGCCACCAAAAGGAATTTAAAATACCTATAATTCTTCCTCTTTATAGAAATATCTATGGCTTGCACAGGATGGGCATAGAAAGGTGTGTTTTTCCTCTCCCTAGAAATATAATGAAATTACTGTGGTTAGCTAGTTACATTGTATAGCACAACATAGCCTACTAAAGAGTATGAATTACTGGGTGAGTGGCAATTCTGTATGCTTTGACTACAGAGCTGAAGAGAATGAAGAGAGAAATGGGGGGGGGGGGTTTCAAAGAAAGACTTAGCAATGACAAAATGAAAGTATAAACTGAGATAGGTAGAAAAGAGTGAATAAATAGAAGTAAAAAGGATTGGGTTGAAACTATGGCAAAATATTTTATACTGTTGCTATAGTGATGAAGCTCTCTTGGATTATTATACCTGTTAAAAACCAGCCTTTTGAGTGTCCAATTTATATTGCACACTTGGATTGTCTTGGCATCAGGATACACACCTCCAATTCTGCAGGTTTATTCCTGGCTAAAAGCTTGCAGTCCAAAGCTAGACATATATATTTTTTAAAATACCAAAGTGGAAGAAATGGAATTTTATTCAGTTTCAAGACATGCCAACTTCTCTGATATAGTACGAGTATGCAGTATAATCAAAAAATGATTTATAGATTTCTCTCTTCTCTTTTCTCCTAAGTTTGTTATAACAACCTGACTTAAAATCACACTGCAAATTGTTTTAAACTCACTTTGAGAATTTGGACTTCAAATTTAGCCTGCTTAAATCCTTACCCCATCCCTTATGTTTCTTTCCTCTCAGCTGTTCCTTTTATTTATCTCAATTCCTTTTCTGTTCTGTACTCCTTTCTACAGATAGTAACACTTGAACTTTCATTCCTTTAATGGTCAGCCACTGATTCTCCTGGGGACCATCTGAATGTTGATTGCATGAAGATGGATAAGCCCCATAGTCCATTTCTATAACAGACTCTTAGCATGTCTCAGGTTCATGGCCACATTCTGCAGATATTTCTTTTGTCTCCAGATTAGCAAGTGAGGCGGGGGTGGGGGAAGAGAATTTATCTCAGAGATATTGTGTTACTGATCTAGAGACTATGAGATGCTTTCCCCTGCTCTTTTTCCTTTGGCCTTATTCAACTGTCAGTTCAGTTCCTTATTGACCTTTCAACTTCTAGTGGCTGATCATCCTTCTGTTTCTCAGCTCACCATAACTTGAGCATTTGCCATTCTAGCCTTCCACTCTTCCACCTTTTCCGTGAGGAACATCTGACTTGGGAGATAATCTATTGGTGCCAGTTGCCAAATGAAATGGCAGATGTCTCTCTTTTTCCTTAGCCACATTGGCATTTGCCTTTGCACAAGCTAAACTATTAATATTCCACACAGGCAGCTGGTCAATATAATAAAATCCCTCAATCTGGCAGTTGTAAATAATCCACCTTCAACAAGTCAGTTATCAAATTGTACCAGGTTTGGTTCTCAGAAGAAGTGCCTGCATGACAACGTCTTCCTCTTCTGGTACAAAAAGGACACCCCTGCATCCCCCAAATTCTATACATCCTCTTGGATGTGTGTAATTTAATATGTAACCTTCAGGATGCAACATGACAGTGTTTTCAGTGGAGCTGCCCCTAAAACAGGAGTCCCCAATCCCTGGTCCATGGACCAGCACTGGGCTGCAGCACAAACAAACAAAGCCCCATCTGCAGAATACATGCACCCTCCGGTCCACAGAAAAACCTCTCTTCATGAAACCGGTCCCTGGCATCCAAAAGGTTGGGGACTTCTGCCCTAAAAGACATCTCAGAAACGTCACTTAACCTGAGAAACAGTAGCTGATTGCTTTGAAACATCTGGAAATGGGAATCTGTCTCTACAAAATAACTGCTCAGCTGGTTTAATTATTTGTTTCTTCTAGATATAGTTCAAGATACTTGTTTTCATTTATGCAGTCCAAAATGGTCTTGAGTTATGATCAAACAAATAATGCAACTGTCTGGCTATAAAGCAGAATTTTGGCAATTGTAATACAATAGCTCTCAAAAAAATTCCACTTTAAACTTTCTTTTTTTTTTGTCTTTCAATTCTTTTTTTCCCTTTGAGCATTGCAGTTTCCCTTTTCATTAGCTAATACATTAATATATAGTTATTTTAAGTGATTTTAGGATTGCTCTGAAGAAATGTTTAAAAATGCCCAAAATAGAATTATTAATGGTCAGCTATATAAATAATATCACCTAGTTTGAGCCATAAATACATGAAAACTGATCAGAGCATTGAATATGGCCCATATACCTCCCTGAAAACAGATCCAGATTGCCTTACAGTTAGGTGGAACAGACTGTAGCAAACTGGCAGACTTTAACTGGCTGACTTCAGGATGCTGATCTATAGGTATATGGAATTCCTTCCCCTTTCTATTACTATATCACAAACTAAAGTATTCTCAGTGTGGACTTAAAACATTAAAAAGATAAAATTTTCTCCTTCCTGTATCTTACTGTAACCTAAACCTGTAATTAAACTTACAAAAATGCATTTTGAAAAATTCTGTATTATTTCATTTCCTCTGCTTTTTTCTGTTTGGGTACACTGCCTGCCTTGGGTAGCAGTGACTGTCTTCTTCCACTTTGTAAATTGCTGTGCACACAGAGGGTACTGCTATTACTATGAAGTGTTACAATATTAAGTGACTTCAAGCTGGTCACTATGTTTCACTTTTCCTACAGGTTTGTTGTAGGGATGAAAAAGAAAAACACTACTTATAATAGCATATGGAGTTCTTGGGAAGAGGTTGGATAGGAAGGTATGGTATAAAATCATGAATAATTTTAATTGTACAGCACTGGAGGTAGTCAGAAAATGTCATCTGTATTAATTTTTTGCTCAAGCCCTTTAAAATCTGAAACAGCATGCACAAGAAAATGCATTTTATTCTGACATGGTTTTTGGAAAAAATCTACTAAGCTCTATTACAGTGTGTTTCTAATAAGATACATTTTGAGAACAGAATGAATGTGATTTGCTCAGAATTACCTAGAAAAGGATTTAGAATCAGGACTTATATTGTAGACATCATTGTCAGCTTGAGGCCACAATATACATTGCAAATATGAAAGACTACTTTCCCTAACACACACTATGATTATATTTTCAAAAATAGCATATGAACCTGTTTTATGCGGTGGTAGCAGATTACAAGATCTAAGGCAGAGATTATGCCTTCCTTGTTGTTCACATACATTTGATAGGTTTTCTTAGCATGTAGTTGATAAATTTGTCATCTTAGGAAGAAATCCTGTCATTGAATTATGCCTATTTGAAAAAGGACACATGTTCAAATGAACAGAGTTGCTTTGTGTAGTCAAAGGATGTCCCCAGTTTTTTCTACTGGAGCTATTTCAGGTGGGGAATCTTTTTCAGTTCCGACTGAGATTATTTGAACTGGATATACCAGGAACGTGATCCGGGTGATCTATCAGCAGGCTATGGTCTTTCCTAAACACTAAGATACAAAAGTAGTGTGCAATGTATATTTGTTTGCCTTGAGATTTGAATTAACTTCACAGGAGAAACCAACCAGAAAAGTTGCAGTACCTTGATACAATATACTCTATGACCATTCATCAATCCCTAATGACACTTTCAAGTTCTTCACTCTTTCCATCCCCCTGCAAAGTATCCTGAAACGGATTGATTCAATCTAATCAACTGTTCCAACATCCTTGCTATTTCAATTTCACTCTGAACATTACTACTGAAGGCATCAGCTACTTAATTATCTGTATTTTGTATAATATGACATTGCTTGAGTTTTGCACTACTCTGCTTGTGAACAATGAATTCAAGTCATGTGAGGACCCTGCAAGGTGAGTCACAGGTTGCAAGGCAAGATGGCACATGAAGTCAGGCCAGCAACTGCACTTCATCACAACAGACTGAACTTTACAAGAGAAATTCATTCAGCCTTTCCATTTGGCTCTTCTTGCTCAAACTATGGAAAGTTCCTCCAAGCATCTCTCTCTGATCAAAGAGAATCCAAGACTGACATTCCTGAGTCATTGTGGGAAAGGAGAGGCTTGGTTGTCGCTTAAAGCTCTTTCAGAAAGGCATGGTAAGATCAGTAATGTGGAAATACCGAAGTCAATATATTTTTTATGGCTAAAAGGAACCAAGGGAACAGAATTTTTTTTAATATAAAATAAACATAAGAGGTAAAACCAAAATCGTGTTCAGTGAGTGTCTCTGATAGTTCATGCCTTTGTATTTAATTTTGTTCATACAGAACAAAATTAAAATGTCCCTGGGAACAACAATATGCACTTGCCCATTCATTTGTGTTTGCTTAGCTAATGAATGGCTATAAAAAGTGATACAATGAGGAAAGCTTTGTGAAGCTACAAGGTGGGCAGTTCTACTTGGTAGCTTTAGTGATGAAGCAAAATAAAACACCACTGTAGCCAGACCTCCCATGGGATGAACAAGTGCAACAGAATAAAGATTTGCTTACCTGCAGCAGTTTGCCTTCAGCAGGGGTGATCTCTGCAATGCTAGCAAAGACTCCTTCCAGTGTGAGGGGTTCCAGTTTGAAAGGAATTACCCGAATTATTGCCTTCTGGGCCAAAGTCCGCTCGGCTTCCATTGCTGCCACCAGTGCCAGTCCTGAGTAGCCTAGTCGTATCTGTAGCATAGCCATTAGCAGCCAAGGCCAGAGGACTGCCAGCTGTAGCTGGGGGCCAACACTCATGCTCCCAGCTGCAGCAGTGTGCTCTGGCCACACATACTGCTCAGGAATGTGTCCTCACCCCACCAGCAGGTTCCAACAACTGGTAAAATTGTTGAGGATTATAGCCCTCTGTGCAACTGCAGTCAATGGGGCAAACAAGAAGCAAAGGATAGCTACCTTGCAGCTTCTTCCAGGTGTTCCTCTCTCCTTTTTCTCAAAGTTTCTTCATGCTACGTGTTTGTGAAAGCCTTGAGCTTCACAGGATTATAAGAACCCCAGATCAGGTCTTCCTTCTCCTCCTCCTCCTCCAGATAAATTCAGACATGATGAACAAAACCAATGGGATATGAATAGCATATGGTAAGAAGAGCTCGTGGTTTCTTCTAGGAATACTGCTATACCTGATTTTAGACAGTTCCCCATGGAAGACAATATCAGCTTCTCAAATCTTTTTAGGCTTGTAGATCCTAGGATGGCAAACAGGACCGAACCTGATATCAGATGACCTTAGCAGCCCTTGTTGACTGCTGAAAAGTGAATTGCTTTTTTCATATATTCTTTTCTGTTAATGCCAACTATTTTTTTGTCTTCTTCTTCTATTTATGCCACACATTAAAGTGTAGAGTAACCATGCATGTACTTGCATTTAGGAATTTGAATGCAGACCTGGTTTTTCTTACTCATTGTCATCTGTTTGATCTTTTATTCATATTTGCATGCCTCCAATGCCTGCACCTCGCTCACTTTGTTGAATTAAAGTTTTTTAAGTTGGAATTTTCCAGCGGTTTGTCATTCTTAATACAGAAAATGTAGTCCGTGGCTCCCCAAATTTATGAAACAAAAAAGACATTTCTCAGATGTTTTCCAGGACTTTGAAGCTAAAAAAACAGGAAAAACAACTACAGATACACCTGTGTTTTATTTCATAGCTGTGCAAATCTCAGAATGTGTATCCTTTTAGAAGTTAAATGCAAATTAACACAATTAAACATTAAAAAGCATGCTTATGATTAAAGCTGTAGAAAAGCTGCAGAAATTTATCAGGTAAACTGTTTGATCAGAGAAATAAAAAATAAATTTAAACTGGTATGCAAACCTGTACATAGTCGTGCCTCCTAAAAATCCATGAGGGGAAAAAAAAAAACACCCAGCAGCTTTTTGAAAAATTTTGGACAAAATATTTCAATTATCAAAACGTATTCTGAATCTTACTTACAAATTTCAGGTAAGGAAAGGGTAGTAGGGAAAACTCACAGAAACACTCTATACAGGTAAATGTGAAATTCCAGAGTCTGAATCAGAAAGAAAAATTGACTCCCGGCTGAGTCAGGCGTGGCTGAAATCTAGTTTCCAAAAACAACCTAAAAATCTTGCTAAAAATCCGGGAAAATTTCTGGGAACACCTTTTGAATATGAGTAGTCTCCCCTTCTTTCAGCAAACATAGTAGCCATATCTCAGCAATATGCAGGATGGCAGTTGCTTGAAACAGCAGATATCCATCAGAAGACCGCATTAAAAACACAATGCAATCATTCTTCAAAGACAAACGGCCCAGTGGGATGAAGTGAACTTGAAAAGTTCTGCAGAGCTCTTGAAAAAGTCGTCTTTCCCCAAAACCACAACTGGCTTAGCTCCTGGAAGGCAAAAGTAGTTCGTAGCTTGTGCTCTTGGCTTCCCTCCCCTAGGACTACAAGCACTTTCTACCTGCTGACACAAAGTGAGGGTGGAGCAGCCAAAGGCAATAACTCCACCTCCTAAATGTGGTTTTGAGAGTTCTTAGACTCCCTCTCCTGATTGAGTAGTAAATTGCACTTAACATTTGCTTCCTTTTGACATGAATTGGCTAACTAGTCTATATGAGCAAGATTCACTTGCTGCTTTTTCCAAAGAATTATGTACAGAGAAATGGTAAAGGAAAATAATTTGATCAAATGTGTTAACAGCAAATCTTTGTTTCAAGATTTTCAGTATGACACTTTCAATTACACTGAAATTAGAACTACAGTAATTTCATAGGATTGACGTATAAATGGAATAGCTAAAGTCTGCAGCTAGCTTTTCTTCAAGTATTAATTTTGGTTGTGTTGTTTTTTCCCAATAGCCACTGCAAGGGAGATTTTAGGTAATGCTGATTTTTAGAAATCTGGAATTCAGCTATTACTGTCGTCTGACATCAGCTGGATGAGTAATACCACAGGCCAGACAGGAAACTTCAAAGCAAGATTACCCATTTGAAGCTGTAATTTAGGATGTGGTTTAATTTCACTGGGTACAACATTCAGGTTAGTAGAAAGTCAAGTATTCAATAATGTACAGAATTCCATGCGAAAAACCAGTTTTGCAATAATTTTATTTAGATATGGAGAAAAATCAATTTTCTTTAAACAAAAGAAGGAAATATGGATATTTGATGTTTTGATTTGTTCTTTTTATTATAATAAAGATCTCCCATTTCTAGGCTGTTACCCGAATTTTTTCTTTTAAATTGCTTACTGTATAGTGTTAAAAATGACTGTGTAGACTGTCCTTTCACTTTAGTACACTTTTGAGCGTGTAGTGATTTAGTACTTAATTTTACTCAAATGAAAATCAAATACTTTACTCTCTCATAGGGCTATAAGATCTAAGCAGCAAAAATCCAGATAACCACTAGATGACAGGATATGGATGCAGAAAATTCAACCTATGTTTTGCTGTCTATTCTGGATTTTTGCCAGAAAATCTGGTAGTCCTACTCAAGTATCACTATTAGTAAACACTGGACTTCTTTGGAGTAATCCCTTTTATTGTTTATTAATAGAATACATTTTAGCTGAAAACTGTGAAAGTACTGAGAAGGTTGTTCCAGATAGAGTTATGCTGAGTATTAGCATCAAGAAATATTGTAGAGATTTCTTCAATAGTCTGAATATTATTTTCTCTTTTGCCAGTTTCAATATTTTTTCTTTTGTACAAATGCTTAAGAGTCAAATAACTGAGTCTATAAATATGGTAGGAGATCCAGCTCCTTGGCCTCATTTTTCAGTTAGTTTACAGACAGATGTAAAGATATAAATATCGCCATTTCCAGACTGAGCCTTAAAAATATAGGCCCATTTAATTGTTCATTATTAATAATTTTGAATTATTAATAAAGCTATGCTACAATACAAATATTTTCTGTAGTCCAATCAGGTATGATAAAGAATGAGCTTCATTTGCAACATTTATTTGAATCTGCAACAGGCCTGAACTAAATGCCTATTTTTAAATTAAGTCAGGACTGATATACAAGCATCTCTTACCATTTTTTAAATTCAGAGACTTTGCTAAGTATTCTCCCTGCTTGTGTAACATTTTATTTTTCACTTAATTTTCTTATCTTACAATTAGACTGAATGTATATAGATGGACAAATGGAGCCTCTGACAATTGATTGGAGTTATCTCAAAATAATCGGTATATCAAAGCAATGGAAGCTTTGCAAGAAATAATACGTTACTGTCCTACAAATCAATATAAGGCTATAGCTGAGTTTGTGTGGTTGACTTGGTTCATCCTGCCTTTCATTGAGAGATAATGGATATAAGAAATCTAGAAATTGCAGAAAGTCAACTGAATAAAAGATCTTTCTGATCTGAGTTTTTTGGGAAGTATATCCTTATGCATTTTTCAAAGTTCTGGGAAATCAAAATAGTCTTAAAACACATTCTCGTCATGCTACATCATTTGCATGCATTCTAATTACAACATAAATACATTCGAGTACAAAGTCATTACTCTTTAAAATCTATTGTCAGTAAATATAATCATATTGAACAAGTTAAATAGCTTGCAAAGACATTTAAGCTAAGCAATAAAACAACATAAGTCTTAACATTTGTTTTATATTGGCCTAGAATGAGGAAATTATTAAAACACAAGAATGTACCATTAACATAAAATATCCAGCAGCTATTATGGATGGAACAAATGAAGAAATAAAAAACCTGTTGTGTAATTAACTAGAAAATGAGATAAACAGTCTTGAAATGAAATTTGAACAATCCTATGGGGACATTTGTGGCAGCTGTTTGAAATACAGCTTTTTCACTTTTAACAGATTTGGACAAATAAGTTTATTAATTAGATGAAACAGGTTAAAAAATAATTTAAACCTATTAAAGGGGTGTATTAAAAACAGTGGTGGGATTATTTACAAGTGTAACAAAAATGAGCAATGGAAGAGAGTTTTATTTGTCATATCAGTCCCCAAAATATTCCTGGAATGAAAGCCACTGCTCTTCCCCAGCTGGCTACTGCTCTGCATTTGTACATGCTTTCCACCAACTTCTCACTCCCTTAATTCTTCTTCCTTTGGAAAATGCTCTTGCTTGCAAGCCACATCCACTAGCAAATGTAGATCTAGGAAGAACACAAATGGCAATCCAATATTTATTCTGTAGTTTGGTTCTTAAGATGTAAAGTACATCTTAAGAGATAGAAGATGTACCCCTGTCTGCCTTAACTAATGGGGTTCCAGGCCCATATTTGCCAGCTAAGAGTTCCCCAGCAGCTGTGGCAGAACAGAGGTTCAGTGAAAAATTGGGCATTTTCTTTCTTTGCTACATTGAACAGATACAAATTGATAGGGGAAGACAATGCACAGATGGCCACTTACAAATCCATAGCTGCAGATATATATTTGTATTGTCTCTTTGTATTATGTATATAGGTAAATAGTTAATAATTATAATTATAGAATATGGGATGGGTATATAACATCAAGATACAAGGGAATACAGCCACTGCTAAAGATCACATCTGCACTGGCTTTAGTATGTTACCTGTAACACCAAATAAAGGTAGTGAGTTGAAATTAGATTGTTGCTTACATCAAGAGAAAATCCTTCTCAGAAAGGCAGCAGATAAAGCAGAAACATAACAGATTGAACTTGCAGAAATAATAGTATTAGTATTAGTATTTTTATTTAATATGCATGTAAGTGCAGTCCAAGCAGACAATAAACAAATCACAGCATACTATGTATTTCAGGAAGAGACAACTGATTAGCAAGCAATATAATGTTGTCAACCCATTTCCAAATATTCATCAGAACAAGGAACGTTGCTCTCACAATTTTTACACTCCTGAAACAAGACTTCAGAAGCTAAAGAATTCATGTCTCCAAAGAGAAATGTAATTCCTGGACAAAATAAAGTGCAATCAGGGAAGAAATTATTAAAGTCACAACCATCATGATGCCAAAATGATGGAACATACATTGTGATGTCATGATGTAAGCTCCATCCTTTCATACTGATATCACTACAATGTGCAAGTACATAAGAACAGAGTTTGAATGGTGATGTGACAACAATATTTTGTCAATTGTACTTCCACTTCGTAGATGATTATTGTCCAAGTACCAAAATTTCCTCAGCAAAACAAACTCTTGGAGATGCAATTACTATGGTGATTAGAAAAGAAAATGCCAAGAATAAAACCTATGACATGTAAGGTAAGGATAGGGCTTTCTACCAAAGATCTTGATTTTAAAACATTCCAAAAATGCTTCACACAAGCCTTAAACCATAATCATTGCAATTACAACCAAGATATTGCAGGAAAGATGATTTTGGCATAGCAGTTCAAACTTAGTGATAAGAGTTGTTCAACATTTAAACAACCTATATTAGGAGTTGTTAGTTTTTTGTGTTTTTTTGCTAGAGATATGTCAGATATGAAGTTCCATTTTGTCCTGCAAATCTGAACTGAGCAGGCATAAATGACACTCAAAATCATTTTCAGCTCTTTGGCTAAATTTTGATTGTAAAGTCAAGAAATCAGACAAAGTTCAACAGATTATACATTTTGTTATCCCTCCATTCTAATACTCAAATTCCCCTTCAGTTGAAATCCTACATGTAAGTCTTCAAAACATAGGCAGGACTAACTAAAATATATATAAAGTTTTGCTGCACATCTCTTCATACACAGAACCGCATGAAGGCTGTTCAATGTTTATTATGAGGAATGTTCAATAGTGCATTAGTAATCAGGGTTTTTAACATGTCCCATACTAATATTTCAGTCTTTGTACAAAAGGTAAGTATAATTCATGCTAATTATCCTTAATGCTGGTGTCTGAGGAACTAGGAGAAACAAAATTCCTCTAAAAATTGAGTAAAAGGAAAGCATTAAGTATTTTAATGTAAATAAATTTACATGAGAAGACACTGAAAGCCTACCATTCTTACCAGGGGATTTGCCCTTCTGTGAACTGCTCCTTCTTTCTCTGCATTTGGTTTGGACGGATGAAACTGAATCTTTGGCACATTTGCTGAGAGGACCCACTTCTGAAATGAGGAAACCAATTTGTTCTGAGGATGCAACAGTCTCTGATGTATTTGTCTCACACTTTATATTAGGATCCTCCTTATAAAGAAGTAAAACACACAAATAAATAATACATTTATTTAAAAAATTTCAGATAACAGCGGCACAAGTCCTTGAAGCCCTTTCTCCACAACATCCTATTTATTTCATTACTATTCCAGGGTCCCAGGATGGCCTATTTTGTTTTCCCACACATAATGCCATAACAAAGAATTAAGAAGGAAAAGTGGGAAGCCTATTATCCAAGATTTCTTTAAAAAGGCTACATGTTCAAGAGCATATTCAGAACCACCAACAGAATGTATGGGCTATTGTGGAAAATATTATCTTCCAAAGAACAATTAAACTTTACCCTTAAAATTGGCCCCATCATCCTAATTATCAGTGTCATCCAAATAGACATCATCATAGCAATAATGGTAAAAATATTTCAGAAACACAATTATTTTCAGAACACCATATTCTTCACTATTCTCTGTCATTAATGCCTTGAATCATGACTAGTTCATGGCTTAAGTTTACCTAACCCTACTTGCCCCATAAAATATTAAATCTATCTTCTCAAATTAACTAATTGGAGGGACTTTCCAAGAACTGAAACCCCACAATTGGCAAGGAGTTACTGAATATAGTTTAGAATGCTTTATGAACCAAATTAAACAAACCATAGTTTAATGCAACTTTATACCCAGGGAGGGGTGACTGGTCTAAGACAGTCAAGTAAAACTTTCATGGTTGGTTAAGGATTTGAATTCAGACTTCCTTAGTTACAATTTGACCTATGATCATGACAATAATTTTAATATTATGACTGCAATCTTGCAGTAAACTTAAGCTGCTTTTTAAATTAGCCCATTTCCTGATTTACACAATTCAGTCAACAATAACTAATGAAATTGGCTGGGTTCACACAACATGCTGAGTGACAAAAAAAGCTAAGCAAAGTTAATATTAATGAAATATTAACTTTAGAACGTTGTGTAAACACAGCTGCTAGTTTTTAACTGACCTGTCTAGTATGTTATATGAACACAGCTGAATTTGCTTAACAAAATTTGTAATAGTGAATATACTATTCAGTTGTTAATTATGCACATTAAGCAATATTTGTATTTATAATTTTGAAAATCAATGATTTGATGATGCCATGAAATATATTATTTTAATTCTAATTTAAATATTTGCTTACTATGGAAGAATGTGGAGATGAGATTATCAGTCCAGAATATATCATAGTTTTTACATTGCTCTTACCTGTGTCTGACTGAATGGAAGTTCCTCTTGAACAAATACCATGGAAGACACTGCAGAAGACTGATTCAGTTCTTTGACCTTTGCTGATGTTTGTGGTGTGACTGTAGGCTGCTGCACTATTTGAGTTGTGGTATTCTCCACAGGTTCTGTGGTATGAATAGCATAGATAAACTCTGGAGACTGTGGCAAGGAGCAAGCTATAGCTTGTTCAGACTCTACAACAAAGGATGTGATATCTGAGCCTACAGGTGTTAGAGGTTCTAAGTGGCTGGTTTGACCTGAAGAAGCTGTATCACTATTCCCTGAATTAACTATTAATTGCTGGTTTCGATTTGACTGTGAAGTTGGACATTGGTTCTCCACTGGTTCTACTTTTACCATTTCCAGCTTTGGGGATGAATGCATTTCATCAACAATCTGGAAGACAGCTTCTAGATTGACTTCTGTCTTCTTGTTTTCATCAGAGGTGTTGCAGGACCAATTAGAAGGCAAAAATTCAACTGGATATGAAGATTGCATTGGTGGATTCTGGTTAAACACAATTATTTGTACATTTTAGCACTGCTGAGTAAAATAAGACTATATAACCCATAATACATTTATCTTTAGGATATGCTATCTATAATACAATTACTTTTGAAAACAATACAAAGAATCTGAAGTCTTCATTAACAAATTTTAATTCTGGTGTCCTTGTGACTTATCGCTAAAAGAAAAAGCTACAAGTAAAAAAGCAACTAACTAAATAAATATTATTTGAATTTAATATAACAATATTACAGCAGAGATTGAATTTAAACTGGGCTTTCTGACATTATTCTTCAGAAATCTTAGAACAAAGTATTGTGTGAACAATTTTACTTGTGTTCAACCACAGATATAATAAACTTGTGACCAAGGAGGAATAAATCTGATGTTTCTTAAATTTACCTTTTTAATCTTAATGCCATACAACTAACTACTAAAAAAACGAAGTGAATTTTCAAAGCTTCACTATGATATGACGTGCCATCAAGATCAGGTTTCAGAAAAGCATACAATATATTGCATTGAACATGCATCAAATAGGTCACTGGAACCTAGCCAATTCACCTGAAAATAGCTGCAGTGTGTATAGATTGAGGCTGCAGGACTACCACAACCACTTAGGGGATCCATGTGGGTAGGTGGTGAACAACATTGTAATACAGCTAGAAAGAAAAGAAAAAGTTAAAAGGCAGAAATGATATTCCCAGTTAATTAAAATGATTTTCTTAATTGCATTTAAATACTATTATAGTTCTCCTAACTGTAATCTAACAGTGGATTATGATATAGGATCAGCAGAGATATGCCACAGACCTATATAAAAAGCAGACATGATCTAAGGACTAATCCCTTCCTTTCCCCTAAGTAAATGATTTACATGCATTAAACACATTGTTTGAAAGGATTCTATAAGTATAATAGGAAAACTTGTAAAATCTACTAATATGTCCCCTCTCCCAAATCAACAGCATGCCTTGAGAACCATAGTGTGTGTTGATATAGACCAGCCCAAGCACAAGAAATGTGGAAAAAGACTCTAGGGAAATTCTTTATTAATCCAAGATTTGTGAATAGCTAGGTTCAAAGTTGGATTGCCAAACACAGTTTTGTAAGGAATTGTGCCTTCTAGATCACCTTGTCTTAAGAGTCCACCATTGGATAATGTGTTTCATATAAAGCAATTTTTGAGTCCATGAAAACAGAAATATGTGCAGGTTTTTTTCACAATTACTAAGCCCAGTTTATATAGAAAGTTAGCTAGTTATCACTCAATGATAATTTTTTTTGTAAACTTTTAAAGGCAGAGCATCGCCAAGGAGTATTGTGGAATTTATGAAGGCAATACAGGTAGTCCTCAACTACAACCATTCATTTAGTGACCATTCAAATTTACAACAGCATTGAAAAAAGTTATTTATAACTGCTTTTCATACTTATTACCATTGTAGCATCCCCATGGTCATGTGATCAAACTTCAGATGCTTGGCAACTGGTTCGTATTTTTGATGGTTGCAGTGTACTGGGGTAATGTGATTACCTTTTATGACCTTCTGATAAACAAAGTTAGTGGGGAAGCCAGATTCATTTAACAACCGTGTTACTAACTTAACAGCTACAGTGATTCACCTAACAACTGTAGCAAGAAAGGTCATAAAGTGGGGCAAAACTCACTTAACAACTGTTTTGCTTAGCAATGGAAATTTTGAGCTCAATTGTAGTCATAAGTCAAAGACTACTTGTATTGCATAAGGGAAAGAAAGGATTAGCATTTAGTGATAATATTCAAACTCTCTGGATACTATATGCAACTAATTTATAGAACCAGTTAAGAACAACTTTTAAAATATGTTTCAAATGTAAATTATCAGATTATCATTCAGAAAAATTATGTTGAATGAATCTTCTTTATTCTTTGACATTAAACACTTTCCCCTCGGAGACTTATAATCCTACTGCTCAGAAGTCATTTTTAACCAAGTATCTGTTTATGACCTCTGTAGAAGAGCACAGCTTTGACAGCACTGACGTTTAAAATAGAACAGTCTGTCTGAACATTTTGTTTGCTTGTTGTGTTAAGGCAAAATCCCAGGGCTATTTTAACTAATATGAACAGCAAAAGCTAATATGAAAGAGCCATAAGTCCCTGCTAAAACTTCAGTGGGTGCAAAGTAAACATTAATTAAATATATTCCTTTGTATGATGACATATACAAGAAACACTGCATAGTTTATGGATCTGCAGAGCAAGTTTCCAAGATATTTGAAGTTTTAAAAATAGACATATTGTAAGTACTTCGTTAGTCCATGATCAAAGTGTGTGATGTAGACTCTGAATACATATGAAGTAGCTTTTAGACTTAAGTTACAAATCAATACACTGCCATTTTCTGACATTATTGAAAATAATTGAGTATAGATTTTTGGGGTAGGTCACATCAAATATCAAGTATTTAAGAAGTAGCTGTGTGATTCCATAGTAAATACAATTCTAAACTATAAATTTAAGTACAAATTAAATTATAAATTCCAGGCTATGTTATTTTTCTTACATTTCCAGCTAAAAGAATTATAGGTAGCTACCATCAGTATTTTAGATGATAGATCTTGCTTTGAGACAGATGATTACTATTGCAGAGATAAGAAAAACTGTAAATTCAGATATTGTTGGACTATTACTATTTCCATCATTAGCTGCAGCTAGCACACCAGTGGTCACAAAAATTAGCTGTAATACCATATGTAGCAGGACATGGAAGCCCCAGGGCTCTTTTTGTCTAAACAAGCAGATTTGCCATGGTACTTCTATATTATCAGGGATACTATATCACAAGTCCTACATTGAGACAATCTACATAGTATACATTAATACAAATTTGCATCTGTATTTTTATACATCAGATATTTTAATAGTTTTATGGTTGGATGGGAGGCTTCCTAGAGATTGTTGCTGCTGTTAAAATACTAGACTTGTAAAACATGCTTTTAAATTTTTAATGAAATAAACTAATATTGGAATATGCTACCTGTTGGATAGTAAGCTTGAGAGTATGGTGCTGAAGCTGCATAACTGGTATATTTCTGGGAAGATGTGGCCATTGTCTGAGGCCCTTGTTGAATGTGTACAGATGTAGAGCTGGGCTGCAGAGTGTAAGTTACTTCTGTTGGGAACCTCTGTAGCACAGGAAATGGAACACCTTTGTCTGAAAAAGTTGATGTCTCCACCTGACCTGGGAGCAATCCAAGAGAGTTCTGCCATGTTCTGGGAGGAAAAGGAGTCCGATCGGAACCTTTCAGTGGAAAAGCATTTTGGCTGTGAGATGATGGTGACAGATAGGAATAAGGAGATAAACTGTCTCGCCGAAAAGATCGATGAACCTGCTCTAAAGTCAATGGTGCTGAAGATGGAGAGGAAAATGAGAAATTCGATATATTATTAAACACATATCAGAAGCCACTAAGTCTTTAATATTATATTATCACTGCTAAGCACATATGCCTAGTTTTAATCAAATAATATAGCAAACAATACTCAAAGAAGTAACTTCCTAGTTAGAATTAGAAAACTATTAATTTGCATCAGTTGGCATATGTATATGATTCTGAATAGGATTTCTTAAGTGAGCATTAGCCTTGCTTTGGACATCAAATCATTCCTAGGACATTACCATAGGATTAGGAAGAGCCTAGAGTGTTAACATAACTTGGACCAAAGTACTGATTTGTTACCACCCCTTGATTGCTATGTTTAATTTGATATTAGGAGTATCCATTTCAGAATCAACTGGGATAGAGCTTTTTAATAATAATTAATAGTAATAATATACAATTAAAATAAAAACTACTAATTGAACCGCTAAGAAATAATCTGGGGTAAAAGAAATATACCTAAAAAGTAGAGCATCAGTTTATTTCACAAAATGAAGACTTTTTATCTGTTTGCTACTTGCCATAACTCTGAAAATAAGTTATGGCAATTAGACAAAGGCCTCAATAACCGTCTACAAATAAATTATGAAAGGGTTCTTCATTTTCAAGTTGTGAAGAATGTGAGATAATAACCAGCAGCCTAAATTAGATTAAAAATGGGCCAGAAATCAGTACAGTTTTCTGTGCTATTAAGTATATTTTAAAAATGTCTTAAGTGCAGGGTCAACAGATTTTTAAAAAATATTTTTACAATTTCTGAGCTGTTGTACCCTTTAGGATACATTCATATCAGGTTTTTATAACATTTATTTTTAAATATGAGTTTCATATTTTTTATATCTGTTGCTATCTGTTGTGTGCTGCCCATAGTTGCTTTCAGTGAGATGGATAACTATATGATTTTTATAAATAAATAATGCAGTAGTCTAATTAGACGTATTACTGTGAGTTGGTGCATCTACACCTATTTTTGATGATCACACCCTCTATCAAACGACATATACCTTAGGAATATTATGCTTGTGTGTTACTGCAATACATTCTATATGAAGCTATCTTTAAAGTATTGAGAAACTACAATTGACCTAGAATAGGCAGTTAAGGAATTGTCACCTATTGAAAGTATGTGATTCTTTTATTTTAAAAAAATGCACTGGCTTCTCATTTATTCTGGACCAAGTATAGAAAATTGGTAATATCCTTTAAAATATTTTGGACAAGAATATCTGAAAGACTATCTTCTGCTGTTCAACAGTTGAGGAAATTTTCAACAGAAGTCCTGGTGTTAATATACTCTCAATAGTAGTTTTGTCTGTAAAGAAAGCTTTTTCAGTAGCAATATCTTTTTCCTCCCAAATTAGATTTGTCATAATCATTGTTTTAGACTTACATTGGATAGTTCAAATATTCTAAGAGTTACTATTCTCTCATTGTTTTAATTTGCTAGGTGCTGTTCAGTTAAATTATTTAAACGATTACCTATAAACATAGCCTGTTTTTTTGCTGTTTTATCAAATCCTCATTTTATTATTTTACAATTGGTGGCACAGTGGTTAGAATGCAGTACTACAGGCTAACTCACTGCTCACTCCAGAAGTTTGATTCTGAGTTGTTCAGGGTTGACTCAGCCTTCCATCCTTCCAAGGTTGGTAAAATGAGGACCCAGATTGTGCTGTCTCTGTAAACTACTTAGCCAGGGCTGTAAAGCACTGTGAAGCATTATATAAGTCTGTAAAGCACTGTGAAGCATTATATAAGTCTAAGTGCTATTGCTGATAGCAGTAACATTCAGACTTATATACCATTCCATAATACTTTACAGCACTCTCTGAGCTATTTATAGTGTCAGTATATTGTTCCCAACAATCTGGGTCTTCATTTTACTGACCCCAGAAGGCTGGAAGGCTGATTCAACCTCGGGTTTATCCTGATCGAACTCCAGGCTGTGTGTAATACTGCATTCTAAGCATTGCACCACCAAGGCTTTTTAAAATATTGTGAGCCTTCTTGAGTTTGATTGAGGAAACGTAAAAAGGTATAAACAACAGGAGGGAAAAAAATCTGTCAAAATTTCTACCAAACAAGAAGACAAGTAGAACTACAAATAAAGTAGGAAAGTGGCATCATATTGGTCTTTTCTTTCCAGGCATGCACTGGTAATCTACACTGAAGTAGGAAAGAAAAATGTGTAAATAATTTTTCTACGTATTTTCATACGTGTTGTATTCCTGTGATTTCACACAATAAAACTGGTACATATGTATTTGTTACTTCTTGTGATATATATGGGCTTTTCTTACATGGGTATGATATTTGTGTAGCAATATTGCTTTACATGAAATGATTCTAATAATGGATGCAGTGAAAAATGAGAATGTATAGTTCTTCTAAGTTGCTTATAATGACCACCTATGTACTTCTTTTAGCTGTTTGTGAGATTTCTACCTTTTCTTCTCTGTGATAATGGCTCTAAATGAAAAATAATATACCGTATTAAAATGGAGAGAATACTGTGGAATGACTGCTCCAGTGCTCTCCCTCCTGTTCTTTTTGTTTCAATTTTATTCACTTGCTAGTAATCTCCAATTGATCTTGATGAATAATTTAATCTATTTTTCATCCTGATCCTATGACTGACAAGTATTATTTAAAGTTTCTATAGCCATAACAAAAGGGGGCACATTGGCTCAGCGGTTAAAGGTACTGAGCTTGTCAGCTGGGAAGCTGACAGCCCAGGTTTGAGACCCAAGTGCCTTACTTGCTTCAGCTCCTGCCTATCTAGCAGTTTGAAAGTTTGCAAATACAAGTAGATAAATAGGCAGTGGGAAGGTAACAGCATTCCATGTCCCTTGGCATATAGTCATACTGGTCATATGACATGGAATATGTTTTCTGATAATGCTGGCTCCCTCAGCTAAGAAACGGATGAGCACCACCAGCTAGAGTTGGACATGACTGAATAGGGAAATCTTTACTTTTATTTTTATAGCTATAGCAACTAGTAAATTTGGTGCTCATTTATCAGTGAAATGCTCCTGTTTCTGCATATATTACTGGAGACTTGAAAAAAGAGCTGCATTAACTAACAAAATGGTGGTAGTATGAAATGCATACAGCACCAATTATTTAAAATAAATATTGAAAAATTGCAAAAAAGGAATCACTACAAGCATACTCTAACAAAACATGGAGCAGATAGAACATGCATAAAGCATATCTCTTGTTCCAAACCAGCCTGCTAAACCTTTGCATTTTTTCAGATTTTTTTTTTAAAAATGAATTCCCAGCATCATTTGAAGAAAGGAAATTCTGTAATTAAATCATGTTTAATTTATAAATTATAAATTTATAAAAAGAATTGGCTGGATTCACAAACATGCTAAACTCAAACATATTTTATGATTTTTCATGATGTAAACTCAACAACTGGTCAGTTTATATAAAGATTTGGCAGAGTAATTCCAAGTGGGGATGATTATTCTGAATAATTTGTCATAGAGCAGGTGCAATATCTAAATGAATAGGTGAATCCTGTTGCTCATTGAATCTATCAGCCTTGAAAGGCACTGCACAACTCAAATCTGCAGAATAAGAGATAATTGTTAAAAAAACATTTTAGACTTAACATTTAGCTTTAACATTTTTTTCAAGCAGAGTAGACTCAGAATGGATTTTCCTTCTGTCTTTCAATAGGATGCAATAGGTAGATATTGAAACTTGTTGATTAGCGACTGGGTGAATTTAACAAATACAGAAATACTTCATTTGGAAGGCTGGGACCTATTTTTTGGATGGCATGCCTATTTAATATTTAATAAAAAAGTGGATTGGGTTTTTAAGTCTCATATTATAAGAAACTCTTTGCTAAGAGTGTGGAGAAAGTATTATAAAAGTGACTTCAAAATACCATTATGGGCTATACCTCGGCATGCCATAGAAGGTATAAGGAAAGGGGTAAATATGGACAAGGTCTCTTACGTACAGTTATTAAGATGGATGGCCAAGACTGGCAGTTAAAATCTTTGGAAGAATTAACACATGAAAACTTAACTTATTCATGGTTCCAATATAGACAAATAGTGGATAGATGGAAGATGGATTGTAAAATGGGCTGGCTTAGAGAAGATGAAATTTTTTTAAAACAAGTAAGAGATCAAAGGCCAACCCATATTAAGAGAGTTTATGGGGTTTTAGTGGAATTAGATTCAGAACTTGAACTAGTTAAAGATTGTATGATTAAATGGGCACAGAATATTGGTGAAACGATTTCAATGGATACTTGGGAACTTATTTGGATAAGAAATGTTAAATTCACACAAGCGCAAAATTTAAGAGAGAATTTTTATAAGATGTTTTATAGATGGCACCTTGACCCAAAGAAAATGTCCATTATGTACCCTAATCTACAGCCGAAATGCTGGAGATGTGGATATTTGGATGCTACCTATTACCATATTTGGTGGACGTGTAAGCATATAAAAGCTTTTTGGATTAAGATATGGTGGAATATTCAAAGAATTTTTAAAAGAAGGGTAAAATTTACTCCGCAATTATTTTTACTAGGTATTGTTATTGACTGTGATGCTAAGGAGGTTATATTGATTTTAAATTTGATTACAGCCGCTAGGTTGTTAATAGGACAATATTGGAAGAAGGAATCTTTGCCTACTTTACAAGAATGGTTTCATAAAGTTTCGTATTTGGCAGAAATGGCAAAGATTTCGGCTTTCTTAAAGGAGCAATCTCAAGAAAAATTTTTGCGGTATGGGAAAAATGGATAAATTTTATACAACATAATTTGGATATGGAAAAATATTATTTAGCCTTTTTATAATTTGTAATGATTGTTTTTTCTTTCTTTCTTTCTTCTTTTTCTTTTTTATATATATACATTTTTTATGTATTATTATTCATATATTTTTTTTTTATATATATATATATGCTTTATTCTTCGTCTACTTTCTTTTTTCTTCTTTCTCTCTCTCTTTTCTCTTTTTATTTTTTTTTTTTTTTCTTTTTTAGTATATATTATTCATTTTAAAGTTTATGTTATCTATATTATTATTATATATATTATTATTGTGATTTTTATTATTATTATTAATTATTTTATAAATTGCAAATGTTATTTTTAAAATATTTGTTAAATAATCCTATATTCAGTTCTGGGAAGTCGGGGGGGGGTGGGGTGGTTGGGGAGGGGGGGTGGATTTTTATTTGTAAAACTTTTGAAAAATTTCAATAAAAAAAAAAAAAAAAAAAAGAAACTTGTGTGAGATTTTGTTATAGAGAGTGTTGTTTCGTATTACAAGGATTTATCTGGGGATATCTTTAACATTAAAGAAATGTTCCTGTTCTGCAAACATTTATTTCCAAAAGAATTTTGTTGACTTCAATGAGATCTACTTTAAAACCTTACCTAGTAAATTGGAGTGGAAATTCTGTTGGTAAAAATCTTATATCCACAGGTTTCTAACTACTTAAAGAATACAGGTAGTCCTCAACTTACAACCACAACTGAGCCCAAAATTTATGCTGCTAAGTGAGAATTTTTTAAAGTGAGTTTTTCTCCATTTTATGACTTTTCTTGCCACATTTGTTAAGTGAATCACTGCAGTTGTTAAATTAGTAACATGGATGTTAAGTGAATCTGGTTTCCTCATTGACTTTGCTTGTCAGGTTGTCACAAAAGGGGATTACATGATTCTGGGATACTGTAACGGTCATAAATAGGAGTCAATTGTCAAGCATATGATGTGGAAGTCATGTGACCAGGGCAATGCTTAATGGTCATAAGCAGTGGTGGGATTCAGCCGGTTCGTACCACTTTAGCAGAACCGCTAACTGATTTTTTGTTGCCCAGGCCCAGAATGGGACTTCCAGAAGCAGCTTCCACACAGTGAACCAGTTGTTCACATATTTGAATCCCACCACTGTAATAAGTATGAAAAACTGGTCATAAGTCACTCATTTGTCAGTGCAGTTGTAACTTCAAACGGTCACTAAACAAACTGTTGTAATTTGTGGCCTTCCCTGTATAGAATATGCTTGGCAGATTAAACTAATCAAGGAGAGAATGCAACCTACCAACTAAGGAGAAACTTCCTGACAGTTAGAACAATCTAACCAGTGATGAACAACCTGGGCTCCAGAAGCAGTGAGGGATGCTCGCAACACTGCGGCGAAGCTAGTTTTGAGATGAGATCGGGCCGGTCGCGACGAAAGTGCGGGCTGTGAAAATGGTGCAAGGGGCCGCCGGGGGCCGAGGCGGCGGCAGAGGCGCCTACGGTGGATCCGCCACCAGACGAAGATCCCCCGCTGCCTCCTGGCGGGCCTAGCACCACTTTGCGGAAGCCGTACAAAGTGAGCTGCCGGATGAAACTAGTGAAATTGGTTGTCTTGAACAACTCCGGCGAGGAGGTGGACGACGAAGATGGAGATACTGAAGAGCCGCCGGTAGGGCCGGCGCTATCGCCCCCCGGGCCGCCTCCCACTGCGACGGCCAGTCCGCTGCCGCCAGCGCCCAGGAGCTCGGCTTCGAACAAGGGCTGGTCTATGAGGAGTCCCTCGCCCCGGGCGTCCCAGCGGATGGAGCGGAAGCGCGGGCTGTTGACAAGGCGCCACAGCTTGGCGGGGAAGTTGTTAGGGTTAATGGGCGCGGCCGAGAGCAGTGGGTCCTCCATCGAGGTGGCTCGGTCTGCGGGGAGCCGCTAGACCTAGGCCGCCTCGCGCCCGTTCGCCTTCTCTGCCAGCCTCCCCCCCTCAGTCCAACGGACGGTGGAAGGCCCGCGTGAGGCCAATCGGCTTTTTTCCAACGGACGCCGCCGTCAATCATCGCCGCCGTCGAGGCAGAGCGATATGACCGGGCTGCTTGGCGGCGCGCGCTGTGGCTACCCCTCCCGCCAAAAGTCTTGGGCAAAGGTGCTACGCTGGCGGCTGCCCAGTTTCTGCCTTTCAGCCTTTCCCTTGGCGAGAAAACAGTTAAAATCACACCGCCCCGCTTGCTGAAACAAAACTTCACAACAAAATGTCCACACAACACGCTTAACCTGGTTTCTGGCTAGTGGTCTTGGTGGAGAGCAGAAGGTTCTGTTGCCAAGTGCTACACTTGGCTTTGGTACCCACCCTGTCCTTGATAAGAATAACTTTAAGAAAAATATAAATGATAGTATATAATTGTATATAATAATACTTTTGCAGAAGACAGAACCTTTGCTATCATCCTCAGGCTGATTCTCATTCAGTATTCTTAGAATGATAAAGGGCCATTGAAGTTCCCTGCAGGAATCCACATTAAAGCATCCCAGCAGACATCCAGAGGAGAGGAGTTCATAATTCTCCTTGGTTTAAGTGGTCATCAATTTACAACCATTCATTTTAGTGAGTGTTTGAAGTTACAATAGAAGTGAAAAAAGTGACAACTAGTTCTTGCACTTGCAACTTCTGCAGTATCTCCACAGTCATGTGATCAAAATTTGGGCACTTGACAACTGGCTTGTATTTACAATGGTTGCAGCATTCTGGGTCATGTGATCACCATTTGTGACCTTCCCACCCAGCTTCCAAAAAGCAACATCAATGGGGGAAACTGGATTTGTTCAATGACTGCATGATTCCCTTAAGTGATTTGCTTAACAACTGTGTCAAAAAGATCATAAAATCAGGCGTGACTTAACAACCGCTTAGCAACAGAAATTCTGATCCCAGTTTTGGTCATAAGTACTACCTGTAATTGTTACACTGTTGAACTGCTGTTCAACTTATTTCCTAACATCCAGTTGCAATGTAGCTCCTGTTATCTCAGACCATTTTTCTATGTTTTTCTTCCTGGGATGTTAGGTGATCTTGACTTTCTGTGTGACCACTGCAAGAACCTGAAGGTACTCTTCTTCCCTTGATTGACTTTTTTCCAGGTCCCCCACCAAGACTTGTTCAATCCTAATTTCTCTGACTAGTCTGTGCAAAACATAGTAGAACTGATGATATTGTGAACTAAAAGCTATTTTTCTTGATGTACTGCAAAGTTAACATTTGCTTTTATATCAGCTAGTGTATAACATAAAGCTAGCTCATTCAGTTTGTGATTAGCTACAATTCTAAGATCTTTTCAAGACACAGCTATAGTTTCAAGATCCTTTCCACACATGCCTATGCATAAGCAATAGTAAGAATTCCCCATGGTACATTGATGCATCTATATTTTTCCTCCATGAAGAATTTTATGTTTTTCTGGATTAAATTTAATTCTGTTATTTACAACCCATATCTCTCACTTTGCAATACAATTTTTAATTTTCCTTTTTTAAATAGTTTTAACCATTCAACCCAGTTTTGTATTATCTGCAAATCTAATAAGGAATTCCCTTCCAGATTATGAATTTAATATATTTAATACTTGGATTTACAGTTCATGGAAAATACTTTAAATAATTAACACAGACATGTCAAACACAAGGCCCAGGGGCTGGATGCGGCCCATGAAGTGGTTTCATGTGGCCCGCGAAGCTATCCTGGAAACAGTGAGGGAACAGCCCCCTCTGCCTTGGCCCTGGCCAGCCGGGAGCCAATGTACAATTTTGTGGTGGCCATCTATGCTAAAACGCATTCAGTCTTAGCTCCATAAGCCCCCCCTCCCCCCGCATGGCCTGAGAGGAACAGTGAGGCTCCTCCAGTGGACCATGCCTTGGCATTTGCCCTGGTCCCACTCCCTTCTGCCAGAGACCCTCAGATCTATCCCACTCCTGCCCATGCCCCCACAGGCACCCTTGATGTGAACAATGTAGAGCTGACCACACCCACCCAGTAGGCCACACCCAACTCCATCCACACCCACCCAATAGGCCGCACCCACCCTGGCCACACTCACCCGATCTCCTGAGGGTAACCGCAATGCTGATGCGGTGGCCCTCAATGAAATTGAGTTTGACATCCCTGAATTAACACTATTCCAATATACCGGTAGTAGTTCAGTTTAAGACAGAGGTCCCCAACCTTTTGGGCACTGGGGACTGGTTCCGTGGAGTTTTTCTGTGGACCAGGGTGCGTGGTTTTGTTTGCTGCCTGCATCTCGCGGATGGGGCTTTGCTTGTTTGTGCGGTCTGGTTGCTGGCATGCCATGGGGGTTGGGGACCCCTGGTTTAAGAGCCATAGTGGCACAATGGTTAGACTGTAGTATTGCAGGCTAACTGCCCACTGTCAGGAATTCAACCCTGACTGGCTCAAGGTTGACTCAACCTTCCATCTTTAGGAGGTTGGTTAAATGAGGAACCAGATTGTTGGAAGCAATATGCTGACACTGTAAACCACTTAGGAAGTGCTGTAAAGCATTATAAAGTGGTATATAAGTCTAAGTGCTATCACTATTGCTAAGTTTAAAATAAATATTAAGCTATATAAATATTCTAGCTGCCACTCCTGAACCATACCCAAGGTCCGTATCAATTCTTTTCTCACTTTACATTCCCAAAGGCCCTCTGGAAATGCCAGATCTTAACCATCTTCCAAAATACTAACAGAGATGAAGTCATCCTTATTTCTAGGGACAATCTGTTACAGAGGAGGGAGACCATCACAGAAAATCTCTCCAGGCTTCCTATCACCCTAATATGACCATCCTATTGATTCTTACCAAAGTGGCAGATTCTATTTGGAGCAAGTCCTGCTAACAAAGTCTGAAGCATATAGGATTTTATGGGTGATAGCCACTTAAATTGCTCCTAGAAGCTAATTGTTATCAGTGGAATTCCTGTGATAATGCTACGTTATTAATCCAAGCTTGACCATTACTGCAAGGCAGCCTCATTTAAACTAGCTAAAATGGTCACCAGGGAAAGCCCCATGTAAAACAATATACAGTAATCTAGTTGTGACATGAAAAGGAATTGAATGACCACCAGCAAAGCTTAAATATAGAAGTGTTATGCTTTTATGGTTATGGTTTTATACTAAAAGGTTGCACATATATTTTAACAAATAGAAAAAAACTTAAGAAGCCTGCCCTATAATCTTAGAACTTAAAATATAATTTTTGTCACTGCTTCTTAAAATGTCATAGTATTTGTTGAAAAAAACCATGAACTAGCTGCTTCTCAACGTATTGGAGGCCATAATTTCAAATCTTTGGGTTAAAAACTGATAAGAGAACATTCTTGTGAAGATTGCTCTAAATGGATAAGAAGTGGTTCTACGCATTTGCATCATTAGACAGAATTTTAAAAAGGTGCAGTAATTCTTTGTGGGAGTGGCAGATAGAACACTCAGTTATAGCATTGAAAAGCAATAGGAGCTTCAAAGTCAATTCAAAATAACATTTAAAAAATCAATAGATTATGTTATAGGGCATGCTACAGATAGCCTCCATCCATTGTAGAAAAGGGCCTATCACATTAAATCCAAGTTCCTGTTTTCTACTATGGAAAAGAATAATCTGAGAATTGGGAGATACTGAAACAATCCCCAGGACGAATGCAGTTCATAGCTGCTTGTACTGTCACGATGGCTGGAGCTGATAACTTTTGGAAAGAAGAAAAAGATCTTCCTGTGCAATGATTGTGTTGTAAAATTTATAGACTTGATCTGAGTTTAATAGCATGGCATGTAGGCAGTGGCCTGAGAAAAACAAAGCCTAAGGAATGCAGACTTGAGACACTGCAAAGACCAATTAATCCAGTTTGAAATCAGACCAGAATGGAGACAACTACTAAGTGAAAAATGCACATCAAGTAATAGACCAAAAATGACAGCAGCTAACAGTGACATAGCTGAGGTGAAGGGTATTATTAGCATATTACAAGTGGCTATAGATAGGGATCTAGATGAAGGGTATCCCGTGTACATGCAACATCTAGATCAGTGGTTCTCAACCTTTCTAATGCCGCGACCCCATAATACAGTTCTCCATGTTGTGGTGACCCCCAACCACTTATACATCACCGGGTGCCAGGGGCGTGGCCAAAGAAAAGGGGGAAAAAATGGCGGACAGCCTTGTTTGGCGACCCCCATGAAATGGTCGTTCGACCCCAAATGGGGTCCCGACCCACAGGTTGAGAACCACTGATCTAGATTGTGAGTCATTACCCACTTTCCTCCAGATTCTTGATCTGTTACTTTTGTGAATCTGTAAAGCTTTATGTGTGTGCTGAGGCAAAATCTTTCTATATTTTAATTAATAAAGCTAGGGATTAACAAAGGATTATGTGCGGTCTCATCAATGCCGGATTACAATCTTGTGGGAAGGCTGGTATCTCACTGATAGGTATGTGTGTTTCTAGTATAAACTCCTGATCATTGACCAAGGCTATGCTGCAGGATCCCAATCTGGATTGGTCCTCTGGTCCTGGTGACCGACCCAGATTGGATCCAGCAACATTATCTAGGGACATATATATTTACCTTCACCAAGACTGTGTGTCCAGCAGATGTCCATGTCCAACCATTTCTTATCATTGAAAATTACTAGTGAGATCTTATAATGTGTACAATGAATGATAGAAGGACTGTAAATGAACTAGCCAGAAGTGCATTTCCAATAATGTTTCCCCCTTATCAGAGATTGCCTGAAGAGTTTATATACTCTCAACTACAAAGGAAAGTAAAACAAGTGTGGAACTCGCACTAGTGGCACTTTTAGCAAATTCCTGATAACAAAACCCTGTAATTTTAAGGAAAGAGATCTTTTCCCCAACTCTGCAAATTGTTACAATGGATTTTTGAAGTCTCCCTACCAGAGCAAGCAGGAAGATATCAAGTTAGGAATGATGTTTGTAATACTGTAGTGTAGGTGTTGCATGTAAATAAGAATGAAGGCCACTTCACATAAAGGTAGAAAATACCTATGTGATGCTAACACATACCTCATGCTTTCTTAGATGGATTTTCCCATTGTCTTTAGTCACCTTCTCATCTCTGTTCTGGGTTGCAACTTGGCTTTTTTTGTGGCTTGACCTAATTCTTAAAATAAACATATGTACACATCCCAATAATATACACTCATTTTCTTCTAATAAAAAAAATTCTCAAGACACTATGTATGAGGCTGCCCTTGAAGCTTCACCTGATCCAGAATCCTGTAGTATGGACAGTGATGGGCATGCCTTGATTATGTGCATGTAGCACCTCTTCTTCATGATTGGCACTGGTTGCCAGTTTGCATCTGATACAAGTCAAGGTGTTGCCATTATCTATAAAGCCGTTCATGACATAAGGTCTAGTTACTGAGGGACAATCTGTCTGTCCTCGTGATTTGATTTGTCAGGGTTCCTTTGATTAGACAATGCCATTTATGGAACCTCAGAGGGCTATCTTTTCTGTAGCAGCCCCTACTTTGGAATGAGTTTCCCCTAAAAGATCTGGATAGCCACTACCCTGTTGGGATTTCAAAGAACTCTGAAGATATGGCTCTTTGCCCAGGCCTTTGGCAAGGGTGAGTGAAGCTTCCTGGACGGAATGGTTGTGTTTTTCTCTTGTTCCTATCATCTTGTCATATTTTATTATTCTTGATTGCATTCCCCCCACCCCATTTTTAATGTTTTTGTTTGTGAATCACCAAGAGAGGTTGGGAGTCAGGCAGTATACAAATTTAAATAAGAAATAAAAAAATAAAATAAAAAATATAGTAGTAAGCCTCTGTATCTACCCTTATCAGGATTAGCCTCTACTGGAGGAAAGGAAAAACCTGTGTTCTTGAAACTGATAACAGATAGGAGTTTGGAAATTTGGATGCCAAAATTAAATTAAATTAGGTCCAATACTTTGACCAAATGGTAGAAAAACAGATTGCCACGTATTTAGAAAGACTGAGAAGGGGGGGGGATTGTTGTGCAATATATAACAGAACTAAAAGTATGTTCTCTCTCTGTTCTGCTCTCAAATCCATACACCCTTCTTCCTCTTTTTTTTATCGAGAACATTGAGGTATACCTTCACCACCTTGCCTGACAAGCTAATTTCTGTTGCTTAAAAGCCACTGTAGATAAAATAAACTATCTGGAATTACAAAATGATTCAATCATGGATTTCATTGTGAATGTTTAGTGATTCTATGTAAACTGTGAGTTTCACTGAAAAGTGTTACTAAACATTTTTAAAAATACTCCTCAGTTATTAAATATTGGAGTAAATATTTACTAACAAGGGAACTGTTTTCGTTGTTATTTGTAAAGTCAGAGGTGATATGCTATGAAATGAAAAACCTAGAAACAGACCTCTGATTATCTTAAAATCTCATTTTTGGGTGTTTAGAAAAAGCAGAGTAATTCTGCATAATATACAGTATACTGGTGGAAGCTAGTACCCAATGGAGAAGAAAAACATTCAGTGAAAATTGAATAATATGGTCCAACAAAGCAGCACTAATATAGAGATTTTATTCAACTGTATTGAATTCTTACAGCACATTGTTTGTCACAAAGCTATTGATCCAATTTTGGAGTTCTTTTGCCTGAAGACAGTGACACAAAATTCATGAGAGCTGAAAGCAGGATTGATTAATCATGGCTAACTTGAAGGGTCTTTTTCTCTCTTTGTTTTCAAATTTTTGTTTTACATCTGTGCAAATGAGCTGAAAAAGGAACCAAACCTGAACTTTCCTACTAATTACATCACTCTGTACAAAGTTCAGTGTATGACAAAATCAGATTCCATCTTTTATCCCTATGAGGTCATGCTGCAATTCAAACAGATCCAGTGTAAAAGATGATGCTGGCTCTAGGGCTTTTGACCCAAAGCAGGTTGAAAAATGGAAGATAAGAAGTGGTAGCTTGAACCACTAATTCTCCAAAAGGCTTTAAAAACTAATCAAGAATGGGTAGCTGGTAAGAATTCAACCCAAGCGTGAAGTCAGTATCTTCCAATTCTTGAGGAAATAGATATTCATACACCCATCCTTTGTAACTGCCCAAGGACTGTTGAACTGGCTTGAGCCGTCCACCTCAAAATCTTGTTCGTTCTATAGTCCTACATAGATGTACATTTCAAAATAAAATGATTATGAACACTGCTCATAAAGATCGATGGAAATGGTGGTAACATTACACTTGCCTTTCTAAAACATTTTAGTTCTTGTTTAGATTATGTGAGAGTAGCAGGGTAAAATAATTGCTATACTGCTGCCACAGTGAATATCCATAAATCAGAAGAGTCATTTTGAAGGGAAATTTATTGATGTCATAATGAACAGAAAAGCATTCTTGCAGTGATGATGATCACCTTTACAGTGTCCCTCACACCTTGAGTGTAAGAGGGAAAATCCCTGTTTGTCAATATTCCCTGTTTTCCATCTATAAAATTGGCACCTTCCCCCAGCCGTTTATACTCCAGATAAATTTTAAGTGCAGAGAAGTAACATTAGCAGCATTTTGGACTGAAACCCTCAAGCACACAAAACAGCACATTCCAGGAGGTAAAGAAAACCCACATAATAGTCTGCCTTGAAGCATCAGGTTTTCAGAATAAAGAGCAACCAGAAATATGGAGATACAAATGCAGCATAAGGAAGAGGGAATACACACTGTGATGTGATTCAAGAGGAGATTTAAGCTGTTGCTCCTGTAAAGACGCTGGTTAAGAACCAGCTGTTCAATACCCACAGTGGGCAGGAAGTGCACCAAGCCAAAATTAATTCTGCTTTCCATACACAACAGCCCAGCTGCTGGGATAAAGTCTATTCCCTCAAGGAACACAAGGAAAGTGCAGAGATACACTCTGCCTTATAAGGGATCCCTTCCTAGTACAGTACTAGTGCTGGCCTTGGGCTGGATATCCAAGAAGGTTGGCAAGCTGAGTATGACTGAAAGATGACTAACACAGCCAAAGAGCGCTCCCGGAGCTATCCCACTCTGGGGCTGCATTCTTCTTTCTTACTCAATTTAACCTGACTGCTTTCTGACATGGGAAGAAGGAGGTTCTGATTAGGTTCATGCCTCTCTATTGCTTTTGGAAGGCAATTATTTGCACTATATCATTTGCCATCCCTCTGAAGAAAGACACTGTGGTCTCTAACTTGGCCTTATGTCTTGAAACCACAAACAGTACCATAATGTAGGCCATGTCACATTCTTTAATCCAAATTCCTCATCTTCAATACATGGGGCACCAAGTGGGGAAAATTACCAACAGTGCATACAAGGCTTGGTGATCAAGTGCTGCACTACCGATCTCTTCAGCTGCAGCAGAGGCAGCCTTCTTCCAGTCTGCAAGGGAAAAGGCCAGGCTTCCACACATTTCCTCTGATGGTATTCAGCTAGAAGCTGTGGCAATAGGCTTCTTCAGATGCTGGCTCATAAGTTCCCTGGCGCGGGATACTTGGATGTGATCGTAACAGGAATTGCAGACAAGGACTGGATCATAAAGCTGCTGATCAGGAATGGGCAGCTTTAGATGGCAGCAGCCGGCACAAAACACATTCCCACAATTCCTGGATAAGAAATAACACATAAAAGCAACTATGATACTGGAGCCAGAGTAGGATGATATATGGAGCATCTTGTTTTCACTTAACTGAGGAATAGAGCTGACAATGCAGTCTCGGATCTTAGATATCCTGCTGTGCTGCATGTTTTTGCAAAATTTTCCTGAAGCCTAAAGAAAAATACTACATAAAGAGGTAAACACTGAGAGTTTAGCGCATATTAACCCAGTTCTTTACATGTACAAGAACACACACACTCTATCTTTCTCTCAATTTCTCTCTCCCTCCCCCTCCCCGTGTCTTATAGATAGGAATAAAATGATAGTAATTTAGAGACAGCCTGGGCAGGGCCCATAGTTTAATGCCAATTAGTCTTAATTCAGAATAACTGAATTTTGAGGCAACACAAAATAGTACAGCACAGATTAAGAAGAGTTGTTATAAGCAGTGATAGGAACTTTCAGCTACTATTTTGCCTAATGTATGAAGGGACATATGCAGAACTTCCAAGGTCCCAGGCAAACCTCATAGATGGGGTCCCCAAAAGAACTCAGGCACTGAGCTTCTCAGGCTCAGAAGGAAGACAATGGGTGTGGTTTCACTGTGAGACCTAGTTCTTCCTTGCCCTGCTTCCAGATAATCCAGTTTATTAGAGAAAGTGGGCAGTGGCAGCAGACTGACGTTATAGCGGTGTCAGGAGCAACAGCAGAGGAAAATGTTATGGCTCCTACTGGGCCTTAAGAGTCCATATTTGCTGAAAGCATTCACAATACAAATTTCTGTTCCATAAAACTTCAGTCTATTTACATAATAAGGTCTACCAGCAGCAAGGAGAGACTGAAGCCAATCTCTCAGGATTAAGATTTTTTAAAAAGTTTTTTATTCTCTTTTTCTAGAGAATACTTTTCCCAATTGCTTAAAAATCACAAAGCCACTTTTTTTCTGCAAAAGTATTACATGCTGCCACTTTATATTAATATACTATTTCCAAATATAAAGGATATTAAAAATCTTAATGATTTTCTAATACTTATACCTCAAGTGTGCAATCAAGTGATTGGAAATTGGTAATTGATAATTATCATAATTGTTTTGTCAAACTTTGGCTAAAGATAAATATAATGAACTACTACTTCCCAAGAAGATACTACTCTACTATATTCCATTTATCCTCTATTTCCTTTCCATTGCTCTCATATTTTCTGTACACGTACTTAATAAAATGAAAAAAAAAAATGAAATGGGAAAATGAGATTTGTCATAGTAATTACATTACCTGCAATGGTGTCTGCGTTTAGCCAGCCAGAATTCACAGTCACAGTTAAAGCAGTGTGATGCCATGTGGTCTGGAACCCAACGTGTGACCTATTTAAAAACATAAAGTATCATGGATGATTTGGTTTGTTTCTTACAAACAGCATATCTGTAAGGGAAGAAGCTACATAGCACACACATTTTAACATGTTTCAACATAATTTAAGCTTTACTTTCAAAGCAACTGTCTGAAGAATAATTCAAAAGGAATTATTAAGAGGAGTGAAATGTAAAATATTGGTTATTTCGTTAGAAACACTAACGTTTATTAAAAACTTAAAAGAATGTCAGAGGAAAAAGGAAGATTCTTGAAAGTAGACAACCAAAGAGTAATTATCTGTTTGAGAATTTTTTTTTTTTTACTAAGGGGAACCAGATACAAAATATATGTTTATACCTCAGTAGAAGAGAGCAGAATAGGGAAATACAGGGGGGAAAGCAGCAATGGGCATGTTTTCATCTTACATCATACAAAGTTAAAAGACATAAACTTATTTCAGTGCAAACTAGAAAATAAGGAAATGTAACATGCCTCAGTTTCTCTTTTATCAACAGGCTCCCAGCTTGCTTCAGATAGACAGTCTTCACTGTGATCAGAGTAAAAATCCTCATTTTCACTGCCATCTGACTCCTTGAGGCAAGTCTGCAAGGAAGACCACAAAAGCCATCAGATTATCTATATCACCCATATGATCACTTCCTTTAGTTTCAGCCTTCCTCCTAATGAACTGAAAATAACCACAAGATCATTGATAATAGCTCTTATCACATCAGGCATCATTCCAACTAACTCAATATCATCTACTGTGATTTCAGGTTCTACCGTAATTGATATCTGATCTTTTAACAGATGTGCAAAGATCAGGAGCTTCTCTGTATAGAGTGCTATTTGATAATGTCCATTTTATTATTATACCCAACACAGCAGAAGTGTGGGAGATAGCATGGAATAATAGAATGGAATGTGTGTGGGGGTATCTATGTCCAGAGGGAGAACATGTGTCTTCGTTAGTATGTTCACATTTGTATGTACAGAGTGCCTACAAACATGTTGATGCTAGCATAATCTGTTCATTTTACCTATCTATACATGCCTTCTTGGGTAAAAGCTAAGGAAACCATTGAAAAAGCTTCACCAGGGTCACTTACAAAGTCATCTTCATAGTCCATCTGTGGTTCAGCTGGAGTTGGATAGCAATGACGGATGTCTAATCTATGCTGAAGTTCCCGCACTTGCCTACGCAACTGCTCAACCTCCTGTTTATAGGTAGCTTCGATCTGCCGCAACCTATGCTGGATTACATCTGTGGGAAAGGGAAGTCCATCATCATCTAGATAGAAAGGAGGCACTGGAGAAGGGCTGTTTGGTGGCATGTGTTTGGAGCCAAGTGGCTGCTTCAAATGGCAAGGGAGCCACAACTTGCTAGACTTCCCCACAAGGCCTGTGCAGTGTGCGCCAGAATGCATGGAGCAGCCAGGAGGCTTCACACTTTCTTTCAAAGGCCACTGGCCACTGAGGCACAGTCCAGAGGTCCAGAAGTGCCTGCTGTTCAGTCTCTTGTTACAACAGCCATAGGACAGGAGTCGCCGGGGACCCATATCACCCCCAGGAAGTGATGTCCCCATCCCTTGAAAACTGTCCCAGTTTGCTGCTAGAAGAGAGAATTCGCTCATCTGGCTTTGAGAAATTCCTTTTCGCCACAATTCTGTCTGAATTTTCCCTGTATGGTTGCCCTCCTCTCCATGCTTGACATTGCCGATTTTTCCATCCAGTTCTTCTTTTTGACGACCTGGAGCACTGTGTCTTGGAACAGTCAGAGCTGGCTGACCTGAACTGGGGTGACCTGCTGAAGTCTGGCTGGAGGAGGATTCTGGATGAGAAGTTTGCACAAGATCCCAAGTGCCATTGGATATCAGGCCAATGTCTTTGACATGGTTGCAGGATAACTTTTCAAACACTTGTGTTTTTCCAGAATTTGGAGCTGGGACTGTGTCTTCTGTTGCTTCTGGACCTGCTCTGCTTACTACTTCTATCTCAGAAGGCACAGCAGTTAACTGCTGAGACACTTCATGTTTCTGTGGTCGACTGATTCTGTGCCTGTCAGAGGCGCCACTGCCAGCACCATGCAGGGGATGGAATTCCTGCTGCTGTTGAGGTACTTGAAGCAACTCATCCTCTCGGGTTTCTTTGTTTGTCCCTGTCTCCTCAGCATTGGGATGTCTGGATTCCAAACCAACCCTGACATCTTGACAATGGTTATTCAGATTTGGATCACTTGATGTGCGGGTCAGTAGGCTGCTAGGATCACATGCTGAGAGAAGATCATCCATGGATCTTGTCTTTGGTAATCTGAAACCACAAAAGTCAATTCAGGCGACAGGGATAATGCATGTATTGCCTGCAGGTACATTTACAAGAAGTTGCACACATGCGCGTATGTTTTTTCTCTCCCCCCATCCCTACATGCAACCATGCGCGCACGTGCATACACACACACACACACACACACACACACACACACACACACACACACACGAGTCTTTTTATAATTCAAAGGTTTTCAATTATTTTTTAGCATTGCAGTAAGTAGTTAGAAGCAAGGAAGGAAAAGCTCCTTTTGTCAGGGCAGCAAAGGCAAAACAGTTTCTTACGGTATTTTGCCTGGATATAAATAGTTAGGACAGATCCTTGATTTTTTTCCTAAATCATTTTAAAGATTCATAAATAATCACCAAGTAAATGGAAAGCATTATTTCCTAATCTATAAAATTAAAAAGGTCACATCAAACTTAAAGCGGTGAAAAATTTCAGAGAATACACATAAGTAAAAGGATTAACACAATCCTAAATCCAACCCCGTAAAAACTTCTATATAAACTGCACTGTAATTGATCAGGGTAAGATCCTTATAAATAAATAGAGGCCATTACAGAAGTATCCAGAGTAGCCTTAGAAATCCTGAATAGCACAATTCATAGAACCATAATTATTTTTCTCTTACCTGTCAAGTGACCGACTGCTGAACTCTTGAGTCTGAGATCCAGAAGGCAAGTAAAGATCCATGCCTTCTTCTCCTAAAGGGCATGGAGATGAAGTTGGAAGATATACAGCTGTCCAGAGATGCAATGCACGTACGTGGCACACTGGATGCAGCACCTTGACATCAAAGATGGAGGAAAGCAGATTTAGGAAGAGAGGAGAAACCCAGCAAAAGCCAGGAGTCTGGTAGCTCCTGAAGGTGCCTCTCTAACTAATAACTGATATGAGCTATGATTACAGTTGTCCTATTTAACTGAAAGATACAGAGGAACCATTGGACTTTCTTTCTCTTTCCATTTTCAAAGAAGCAGTGGGGAAAAACAAAGACTTCACAAAGCCCTGCATGCCAGAAGCAGGCAGAACTCAAAGTGAAGTGGTGCTCACAGCAAGATTGTTACAAATCTTTTAATCTCGCATGAGGGAGAAGCAAGCTGTATTTGGGCTTCTGTCCCCCGCTGCATACGTTTTTTTCTCTTCTGCCAAACTGGCACAACTGGGAATTTTACTTACTTGCTCATTAGCAGGCATGTAGAGCAGATTGTGGAAATTTTTATTACCAGCTCTCAAAAGGGACCAAACTGAGCAGGTGCGTTTGGCAATGTTGTGCAGCTCACGTTCACAGGGGCTGTTTCCAAGGAAGGTCCCATAAAGGCAGGAATACGTGTGTTGGACTAACTTTACCTGCAGGTAAAAGAGAAATTTAGGGATCTGAGAGAATTTTCACAAGAGTCCATGTTGGAGGCAGCTTACTGATATAGTGCTGCCTTAAGAATAATGTTGTGCACTATGTCAAGCTTTGGAATGGGTAAGCAGAAATAAAAAAAAAAAAATATAAAATAATTACAATTTGGATTTGGTTAAATATTCCCAAAGCCAAGGCTCACACATTTTAGATCTTAGCTTGGTTAGACACTGAAAGCCCCTGGCTTTTTTTTAAAAAAATCATAATATACTAATTTTTCTGGGTTTTTTTTTACACTTCACATACTGGGATTACATGGACTATATGCACTAACTTAACAGGTGGAAACCAGGCTAGTGCTCCCATTATCCATAAGTGCAGATACAACATATTGTCTGCCTTGCTCTGTATGAAATGTACACATTTTGATAAACAACTCTTTCTCTTTATTAGAGAAATAAAGCACACCATTTTAGCACACAGATTATAGGACAGTATTTTAATAGCACTTTCAGAAAAATCAATTTTATATAATAATTCAGTGAAAGAGAATTGAGTATTTTTCCTCATAGGCTACACATTTTATCTATACAACAGAGATCTATCACAGTAATTCAACTAGAGTGGACAACCAAAAGGAAAAATAACACCATAAGAACCATAGCCACTTTTGCTTTAGAAACATCAAACTGTCATTAAACACTGATCTATCTTGGTATTGAAATGTATATCCTCTGCTAACACTTGGCCTTACCAAGAAAGCTTCATTAAATTCAAAGAGACAGGGAAACTGCTTGAGCAGCTGGTGAACCGAATCCAGCCACTGTAAAAATACTGGGCACTGTTCATTCTGATCTTCTGCTTTTTCCTGGTGTCCACATCGATCACCAAACTTATGGCCAAAATCCAGCCAATCTGATTCAACCAGCACCTGGAAACCCTGGCAATAAAAGAAGATAATTTACTAAGGATTTTCTGAGTAGGCTGCAATAAAAAAAGGTAATTCCATAGCTGCTAACATAATTCATCTATTCTCAAATCATTTTTGGATGTATCATAGCATCTTTAGTTCTTCTTCCTTGTTTCCCTGCCCTTGCTTTCATGATATTGTCATTTATAGTGTTTTATTCCTCCAGTTCATCAACTAGGTTTCAGTGGGGAAGCTTCTACCCAGCTTCAGCTAGGTCACAGCTGCCACCCTTTTTGGAACAGGATATTTTATTAATAGTAACCTCAATATCTTGCACTCAACTCCTTGAATTTAAACTAGTACAGTGACAGTACTAGTTCAATGATAGTGGAGTACAGTCTATTTGATACTCCCTTTGAAAATCCAACAAAAACTACAGCTACTTGTGGCTGCTTAGTTGCTGGTAAGTAAAAACCAATGCAGTAATGTGAAATCTGTTTTGTGGGTACTATATTACCAGTAGGGTTTGAGTACAGTTCAAATGCTGGTGTTAATTTATAAATTTTATAATAGGCGTGGCTATCTGTAATCTTGGAGACTGTTTTGTCTGTACTGAATCATAGGGGTTGCTTCAGACCTCCTCCCACAAAGAGCAGAGACGAATAGGAGATAACTCTCCTGCCATTATTGAACAGCTCGCCCTTGGAACACAGACATATTTTGGAAGCCATAATAACACCTAAATGACACTGGGTGCATCATGGTATGAATTATGATGTAGGTCTATTCTTTTATCACGATGCATGCAATACCTAGTATTTGCCTCCTCCCTGGCTACTTTTCCCAAGTCTTGGAGGCCTGGATGATTTCTAGACTATCCATTTTCAAGAACGGACATTTTCCTTTATCTTTCTTTTGTCAATTTAATGATGATGATGATCATCATCATCATCCAGTTGGAAGGGACCTTGGAGGTCTTCTAGTCCAACCCGCTGCTCAGGCAGGAAACCCTATACCATTTCAGATAAACGGTTGTCCAGTCTCTTCTTAAAAACTTCCAGTATTGGAGCATTCACCGCTTCTGGAGGCAGGTTGTTCTACTGATTAATTGTTCTCTAACTATCAAGAAGTTTCTCCTTAGTTCTAGGTTGCTTCTCTCATTGATTAGTTTCCATCAGTTGCTTTTTGTCCTGCCTTCAGGTGCTTTGGAGGATAGCTTGATCCCCTTTTCTTTGTGGCAACCCCTGAGATATTGGAACACTGCTATCATGTCAAGCCCTTTGTACTTATAGAGGGATCTTTTTTTGTCAAGAACTAGAATTTCTTACCAGACAACTGTCAGGGGTTGCATGCTGATGATAGGTGAGTTACATACCACCGTAAGAGCTCAAGCCAAAATGTGGCAAGGCTTCTTTTTTCAATTCACTTTTCTTACTCCCACTAAGTAAACTAAAAGATCTATTAAATACAGCATTTTCAGGATTGAATCCTGAAATAGAAACACAGGCTTATCCCAAGCCAAAGAAAAAATAAGAAAAAAGTCTATTGTCTCTAATTGCAGATCATTCAGACAAAAAGATGCTTTGCTTTAGGCAATTCTGTACTGCATCTCCCATATAAGTTAAAATTCTCCTAAAAGGTATTTCTTCTTCTGAGCTGCTAACACAACTGAAGCATAATACCTCCATAGTCCTATAATAGGGATCCAGAAGAATCTTTGCCAAGGCAACAATCTGAGGGGTCCTGTCCCAACCATCAGAGCAGTGAACCAACACAGGGCGTCCTTCTCGGTCAACAGCATTTGAGACTAGCACAGCTGCCTTCAACATGATGGAGAGATGCTGTAGCCACTTGGTGCTCTCTAGTGCTGACAGCCAGCTGAAATGGATCAATGAAAGAAAGTGCATAAAGATTGTAGCCAATATAAATATTTTTTAAAGTGCTGGAAACAAGAAATCTAAATCCAGCTTGTGCCAGATAGAAAGTTTTCACTGAGAAAAAGGATGTTGAAAATGTTTCAAAGTCAAAATCAAAATCTTGTTTCAGCTCAAATGGATTAGTTTACCGATTCTGGAATGTTCCAAGTTTAAAATAGCTTTACTTCAACTTCAAAACACTTTCTAAACAACTGAAACAATATTTAAAACAAATTGCTAACTGTACATTGATAGTGTGCACATAAAAATATTTTTGTCTGTTTTGAACTTACTGTTAATCAATTTAACTTAATGACAGTGCTGTGAAGGACAAAAGGAAAAAAAAATCCTTTGTAGCCAAACTTCCCATATTACTTGCAGTTATACAAATCTCTTTGAAAACTTTTCTCTATCAGAATGATTATGTATTCCCACATGTAAATCTAATGAATCCAAGGGAACTGTACAGCAACAAAGAGATAATTCTGCACAGGATAAATCTTCAGAGTATTCCTCTTTCTTTTCTTTCAGTTCTGGCAGAAAGAAAATCTGTGTTTCATAGTCCCACAGATAATGAAATTCCATAAAGAATGTAGCTGTTTAACAAATCCTACTTGGAACTTACTTGCTAGGATCTGGCATCTGACTGCAGACTGCCCTCAAGTACTGGAAGCTATTACGGATGGAATGAATGTTAGCCATACCCATAAACACCACTTCACAGTTAGGATAATATTCTGGAAAATGTCAAACAGAAGGAGAAAATTAATTGGAAAGTTAAATCAAACCTATCTATCACATAAAATATCTTCAACCATAATCCTATTCAATGGGAATAGTTCACACTGACCCATCCATAAAGAACCATCACCATGATTGTGATATGTGTATTGGAAAGGATATCTTGTCATTTTAATTCCATACAGACTTAATAACTTCATTGTTTCAAGTGACTTGTAGCTTCCAATACATCTTTTTATAATTCAATGGCTTCACTTTAGTCAAATCAGCCTCCTAACGCTCATATAAACTCAAGAGGTTGGGATGGAAGTAAAAGTAGAACCTTGATGGGGAAGATGCTCAAAATATGTTTTGCTTGCTTATGCACCCTTTGTAAGTAGGCTGCAACAATGAATAGATTGCCTAAGAAAGCCAGAAGAACATCATGCTTGTACCTTCACATTCACAGCCGCCTCCTTTGGCTCTATTAGCAACTGCTGCAGTGTAGGATCGAGCATCCAAAATCAGCAATTTCTGAGGTGTTGCTGAATTCTCTACATTTGAACATGCAGTCAGTGATGAATCTGCAAAAGGTCAAACAGGAATTTCTCATGTCTTAAACAGATGTACAGTTTGACCAACAATACAGAATTCAGAATGCTGAGATCAACTGAGGTCGCAAAAGCTGGTTACAACAGACATTGCCATTTACACAAAAAGTACAATCTTTCATAATTTGCTCTTTTGGAGTTTCACTGGCTCACTGAAAAAAAAAAGGCTTTTCCAAAAAAGCACTTGGAATGTTCAATTTCTTAAGCACTGTTCTAATAACCATAGGGATTAATTATTTCGAATGCAATATAAAAGAATGGTTGTGGTTCCAGGTTTATTATTTCTTTTACTTTTGTTTTTACTATTGTTGGTTTTTATATTGTTTTATACTGTTTCATTGTCTGTAAGCCACCCAGCTATATAAATGCTTTAAACAAACATATATCAACTGCGTAATTTTATCCAGATTGTAGGCGTTACAAATGAGATTATATTCAATATTGCCATGAAAAAGTCACCAAATTCTGTCAAAGGCAAGATAGCATTTATGCAGCAATGGAAATTAGAAAAGAAATAGAATCAGCTTACTTACCAAATCCGGCATCGCAGGCCTCATTTCCATCACTAAGCCCAGACTGTGGGGACCCCCCAGCCAGTCTCTGTCCAGGGTTCAAGGCACAGGCTTTGGCAATGGAAGTTACTAGATATTCATCATCTGCATTGCGCCAGCCCCACCAACTTATCTCAGGTTGACTGCAGCGTGCAATCACTGCCCCATTGCGCAAATGTCTAAAAAAGGAATCGAGTCCTATTAATCCTAGAATGCAAAGGGTTTCAACAAGTCCCAGTTTGACTGAAAAACCAAATACTCCTTTCAGTGGAGAAGCACCAAGTATATGTATGTAATAACAGATTAGGCAGATGAGGGGTCCTTGGTGCTCTCTGAGATTGGTTGTTTTCTTGCAGACATTTCATTACCCAAATTAAGGAGTAATGAAACATCTGCAAGAAAACAACCAAGCTCAGAGAGCACCAATTACTCCTCATTTCAACCCTGAGCTACAAATATTCTTCTTTTTTAAATTAAGGAGAGGTGAAATTTTGACTGGTGAATCAAATTAAGACAAGGAAAAATTCCTGACCCTCAGATCTGCTTAAATGTAGCTCCTATCATCATCATATCATCATCATTATAATACACCCAGAAGACACAAATTGAACTAGGAGATTTCAGATGCAACAGTAGATGCAATTAGCAAGTATGAATTTTTGGGGGGATAATGAAGGGAAAAGAAAGAAACAGTGATTTGAAGATATACATACAATAAGGATATGATTAGCTTCCAAATGTGCATTAGAAATTTGAAACTATATAATATGAGATAGCTGTTATATTCAAGATAAGATAATACTTTCTTAGTAGTATAGGAAGAAGGAGTATTAGGTATGTTTGCCACCTTTGGTTATCTATAAAAATAATAAAGATGGGTGAATGAATGAATGAATGGAAAATCTCTGAGATAGGTAGGCAGGCACTAAATTGTGCTTTACTGAATGTATTATCTGATACATTCTCATTTCAATCTCCATGATCTATCCTAAAATGATACTATTGTTTCAATAATGGAATCATTTAATGGAATAGTGTCAATAATGGAATCTTAAAGAAGAACTTAGATACTACATCTTTTAACAAAAATTAGAAGGAAGAATATCTGAATATTAAAAAAATACTCTAGCAACAAACTTTCAGTTGATACATAAGTCTTTGTTTCTACCCCTCAAACCACAAAACCCTTTTATATGGCCTTCTTATAAGATGTGAGTTTTGTACCTGTACACAACCACTGGAATTCTCTTCCAAGATCTAAAAGAAGCTACATTCTCCAGTTCTTTGTCAGTGATCCAAACAGGAACCAAAAGTTTCTGTGGGTAGCTGGTACATAACCTACAGAGGAAAATTCAAAGTAATGATCAAAAATTGACTATTGGACAGGGGAGCAGGAATAAAAAAAACAAGATCAAATTCCAAATCTTTAACCCACCAAATCATATGTATAACTAATTAATAAGTCTGATATTTTCAAGGTCTTTTTACTTTACATAAATAGGTAAGATGAGAGATGATTTTAGTTCATCTATAATAGTATTTCTCAACCCTGGCAATTTTAAGATGAGTGGACTTCAACTCCCAGAATTCCCCAGCCAACCATCTTCAACACTGATCTATAATCATACAAAACAGCAAATATGAACCTGTACTAATATTCATAGAAATCACAAATCTAATGTTCTTTTGGATGGACATATGAAACATCAAAATTCCAAATAGATTACTTATATCAGATTCATACTATATGTGACATTATGACTGAAAACTGTTAGAATCCCCTTAAACATAATAATGATAAGAGCAACAGCAATTTTAATTTAACTCAAGGCACCAAATAGAATGGCAAGCAACAATAATGGTCTCCTTTTGGACATGCAATGTGATAAGGGCTTGGGAATAAAAAGAAGTTCTTGGGATACATTTGTGAGGTAGGAAAAGGCCACCGTAATAACAAATAAAAACTATTTTATTATCATAAGGTAGATATTTTAATATTATATTAGCTTGAACTGCTTTCCTGCCTGAGCAATGGATTCAACTAGAACAGGGCTTTTCAACCAGTGGTACGGGTACCACCTGTGATACATTAGCATCTGGCAGGTGGTACGCGACCATCCTAGAAAATTAGTGGGGGAGGGGAATTGAGCTGAACCGGTAGCAGCACCGCACAAGCCTGAGCAAGAGATGGCTGGAGCTGCAGGGCTGTCAGGGCTCAGCGGAAGCACCAAGATCAATGCTGCTTTCCAGCTGATCGGTGCTTCTTCGGGGCTGTCAGCGCTCAGTGGAAGCGCCAGGATCAGCACCAGGCTCCAGCTGGAGCTCGGCGCTGATCCTGGCGCTTCCGCTGAACCCAGAAGAAGCGCCGATCAGCTGGAATGTTGCAGCATCTACAGGGTCTTGTGATTTATATTCAGATGCTTGGCAACTGATTCATATTTATGATGGTCACAGCGTCCCAGGGTCATGTAAAGTGACCAAAACCTGCTGCAACCCACCCAGCAGATGGGGGGAATAAAAACCAAACATCCCCCACCCCACCCCCACTGCCAATCCTCAACAGAAATGTTCACAACAATGAAAACCTCGGACAGGAGGAAGAGCGCCGCTGGATGGGCAGGTAGGTGTCTTGCTCGGCTGTGGCTTGGGGAGCTTTTTTCAGTGCCATTGTAACTTCTATGAGTCACTAAGCGAACTTTTGTAAGTCGAGGACTACTTGTACTTTATCACTTTTTTCATTTATTTTTTTTGGTCATCAAGTTTTTGACACCTTGCTAGGTGACTGGTGGTACTCGGATGTTGCCATATCCTAAAAGTGGTACAATGGGTGAAAAGGTTGAAAAGCCCTGGACTAGAAGACCTCCAAGGTTTCTATTCTATTCTATTCTATTCTATTCTATTCTATTCTATTCTATTCTATTCTATTCTATTCTATTCTATTCTATTCCATTCCATTCCATATTCTATACTATTTTATTCTATATTCTATTCTATATTCTATTCTATTCTATATTCTATACTATTCTATTCTATATTCTATTCTACATGTGGCCTAGCTATAACATTATACCGTGATATCCTAGCTATGTTAATTTAGAAGACAGAGGATTTAATGCTGTTGATATTTCCCCTCCCTCCCTTCTTTTGCAGTTATCTGGTAAATTTAAAGGCTCACTTGTAGCTGTTGTTGATGTCAGAAACCCTCCACACATTCTGCAAGTCAAAGCCCATTCGAGCTAGTTCCATTTCAAACCGATATTTCACATGGTCTCCTGCAAAACAAAGAGTAGTTAATAATAATCAACAATAATCAATTCTGTCAGAAATTATGACAAAGTACTCAATACATCTCCTTATCAGACAAGGAATTAATAGAATTGGTTGCATAAGTCACCCTGAACAAAAGCTTTCAAGAGGCTTGGATCTGTAGATGCTTACCCTGATGTAATTCATAACAACTTACCTGGGCGGCAAAGGTGGGCATGCTGATCCTCCTCATCCGCACAAACTCCTAAGCACCAGGCATGGTAAGCAAATGCAAACAGGTCTTCCAGTTTGGTGGGGCGTGCAATGGCTCGGCTCAGCCTTTTCAACCATTCCTGGCATTGCTTAAAAGTAGAGAAATGGCACCTACAAAAACAGAAGTACATGTGTATATATTCGGTGCCCGGGAAAGATGGTCTGACAAGGGAATTTCAGCAAAACTCCTGAAGGGAAAGGGAAGGGAAAACAACCTATTGCAAAATGAAAATGCTAGAGACATCCTGACACAAAGTGCAGTGCAGTGCTACTTAAATCACTTTAAAAACTTAGCAACAATCACTAACAAAAAAAAGACTTTAAATTAGATTGGCAATTTTTATTGAAAGTAGTAGAGGAAATGAATTTTGGGGATAAATTTTTGTATGCTCTTAAGGCTATCTATCAACAACAATCTGCACAAATTATAATTAATGGGGGATTAACAGAAGCATTTAAAATTGTAAAGGGTACAAGACAGGGATGTCCTTTATCCCCATTGTTATTTGTTTTAACAATGGAGATTTTACTTATTAAAATTTGTGAGTCACCTAGAATAAAGGGAATAAAAATAAATAAGATTGATTATAGGTTGAGAGCTTTTGCTGATGATTTGGTTGTGACACTATCTCAACCGACAGACTCGGTTAGGGATTTGGTAAAAATTTTAACTCAGTATGGGAAGGTTTCTGGTTTCAAGGTAAATAATAATAAGACTAAAATATTATCAAAAAATAATATTTTTTGAAATAGTGAGAAAGGTTAAATATTTAGGAGTATATATTACAGCTTCTAATGTTAAATTGTATAAAAATAATTATGAGACATTATGGGCAAAAGTGCACAAGGACTTAAATGACTGGAAAAAACTACAGTTATCTTTGTTGGGGAGAATTTCAGCAGTTAAAATGAATATATTTCCAAAGTTTCTTTTCTTGTTTCAAATGATACCTATTTTGAAGAAAGACGCTAATTTGGAGGAATGGCAGAAGGGGATTAATAAGTTCATTTGGGCAGGGAAAAAGCCAAGAGTTAAATTTAAGATTATGCAAGATATATGGGAAAGAGGAGGACTTAAGGCGCCTAATTTAAAATTGTACTATGATGCGGTGGCTTTAACCTTGATTAGTGATTGGCTCAACTTAACAAATAAAAATATCCTTTCTCTTGAGGGATGGGGTTTATTATATGGATGGCACGCTTATTTAATTTATGATAAAAAACTTGATCAGGTTTTTAAAACCCATATTTTGAGAAGTGCCTTGCTGCGTGTCTGGAAGAAGTATTACTATAGGTTAAATTATAAAATTCCAATTTGGGGGATTCCTGAACACGTGATAGAGGGAGTATCTAGGGAAGTGAATTTGGATAAGATTTCTTATAAAGAATTACTTAGTTTGGTTGGGCAAGATTGGCAATTAAAGTCTCTGATTGAGTTGAGGCAAGAATATATTGTATACTCTTGGTTTCATTATAATCAATTGTTAGTGAGGTGGAGTTTAGATCAAAAGGTTGGTATCACTTTAGAGGATGTGAATTTGGTACAACAGATTAAAGATCAAAGTCGAGCTCATATAAAGAGAATTTATAATGTTTTAATAGAATTGGATTCTGAAATGGAGTTAGTTAAAGATTGTATGGTTAAATGGGCTCAAAATATTCAAGAGCCGATTTTATTAGATACATGGGAGACAATTTGGGTTAGAATTGTAAAATTTACTCAAGCGCAAAATTTAAGAGAAAATTTTTATAAAATGTTTTATAGATGGCATTTGGATCCCCAAAAGTTGTCCCGCATGTATCCGAATTTACAGCCCAAATGTTGGAGATGTGGAAGTTCAGATGCAACCTATTTTCACATTTGGTGGACTTGTAGAGATATAAAAGCTTTTTGGATTAAGATCTGGTGGAATATTCAAAAGATTTTTTTTTATTAAAAATTTTTTATTTTTTAAAACATACAATCATTTATAAAAATACAATAAAATTTTAAAGTAGACCCCCCCTTACCCTCCCTCCCACCCCCAACCCCCCTCCCTTCACTTCCCAGAGCAGAATACAGGGTTAATAATAAGAAAAAAAATAATAATAATTAAGAAAAAAGAAAAAAAGAAAAAAAAAGAGAAGAAAAAAAATAAATATCATAATTAACCTTTAATTCTATAGCCTATAAAACAATTCTCTATAATATTTAATATTCACTCATAAAATAAATGAAACTTTTTAATTCCATACTTTTTCTGAATATAATCTATCCACCTTCCCCATACAGTAATATATCTTTCTTGTGTATGATCCTTTAAATAAGCAGAAATTTTTGCCATTTCTGCAAAAGTAGATACTTTAAATATCCATTCTTCTAAAGTAGGCAAGGAATCTTTCTTCCAATATAAACCTACTAGTAACCTTGCTGCAGTTAATAAATTCAACATCAAAGTAGTTTCTTTTTCATTTAAGTCAACAAAAATACCCAGTAAAAATAGTTGAGGAGTAAACTTTATCTTCCTTCTAAAAATCTTTTGAATGTTCCACCAAATCATAATCCAAAAAGCCTTTACTTTTTTACAATTCCACCAAATATGAAAGTATGTCGCATCATTATTGCCACATCTCCAACATTTGGGCTGTATATTGGAATACATACAAGATAATTTTTTAGGATCTAAATGCCATCTATAAAACATTTTATAAAAATTTTCTCTCAAATTTTGAGCTTGTGTAAATTTAACATTTCTTATCCAAATTGTCTCCCATAAATCCAATGAGATCGGCTCCTGTATATTCTGAGCCCATTTAATCATACAGTCTTTAACCAATTCTGTTTCCGAATCTAACTCTAATAAAACATTGTATATTCTTTTTATATGAGCCGGACTTTGGTTTTTAATCTGAATAACCAATTGTCTATCTTCTAGTGTTATTCCCTCTTTCTTGTCTACAGTCCATCTATCCATTATTTGTAAATATTGAAACCATGACTGTAGAATATTTTGCTGCCTTAATACATCTAGGGATTTCAAATGCCAATTCGAACCAGAGCAGATTAACAATTCTTTATACGAGATTTTGTCAAAATTTGTCCCCTTAGAAGTTCCCTCAATTGCATGCCTGGGAATCCCCCAGATAGGTATTTTATAATTTAATCTATAATAATACTTCTTCCAAACACGAAGTAAGGCATTCCTCAAAATATGTGATTTAAAAGTCCGATCAACTTTCTTATTAAAAATTAAATATGCATGCCAACCATATATTAAATCCCAACCTTCCAAAAAAGAATATCCATATTTGTTAAATTAAGCCAATCACTTAACCAAGTTAGGGCGGCTGCATCATAATATAATTTCAAATTAGGTGCCTTAAGTCCCCCTCTTTCTCGAGCATCCTGTAATATCTTAAATTTAACCCTTGGTTTCTTCCCGGCCCATATAAAATTATTGATACCCTTTTGCCATTCCTCCAAATTTGCCTCTTTTTTAAGAATAGGTATCATCTGAAACAAAAAAAGAAACTTTGGTAGAACATTCATTTTTACAGCTGAAATTCTCCCCAACAATGACAATTGCAATTTTTTCCAATCTCTTAAATCCTTTTGGACTTTTGCCCATAGTGGTTCATAATTGTTCTTATACAATTTTCCATTTGAAGCAGTTAGATATACTCCCAAATATTTAACCTTTTTTACCATCTGAAAACCTGTGGCTTTAATCAAACTTTCCCTATCTTTAACTGACATATTCTTAGATAATATCTTAGTCTTATAATTATTAACTTTAAAACCAGAAACATTCCCATACTGTGTTATAAGTTCTAATAAACCATCAATCGCCTGATTCGGCTGTTCCAAAATTAAAACCAAATCATCCGCAAATGCCCGCAATTTATACTCATTCTTCCTTATCTTTACACCCTTAATTAACTTTGATTCCCAAATCTGAATCAATAAAATTTCCAATGTTAAAACAAATAACAATGGGGATAATGGACATCCTTGTCTTGTCCCTTTTTGAATATTAAAATTCTCAGTCAATCCCCCATTTACAACAATTTGTGCAGATTGCTGCTGATATATAGCTTTAAGTGCATGTAAAAAATTATCCCCAAAATTCATTTTCTCTACCAAAGAAAATAAAAATTGCCAGTCCAATTGATCAAAAGCTTTTTCAGCATCCAAAAAAATAAAAGCCACAGGAATCTGATTATTCTTATCCAAGTACTCAATTAAATTAATAATTTGTCTAACATTATGTTTCATATATCTCCCTGTTATGAATCCTGCTTGATCACTATGAATCAAGTCTTTCATAACCTGCATTAGTCTATTAGCCAAAATTTTTGTAAAGATCTTATAATCAACATTCAATAATGAAATTGGCCTATAATTCTTAGGCTCTGTAAGATCCTGATCTTCCTTCGGAATCAGTGATATAAAGGCTCTTTTCCAAGAAGGAGGAACTTGCATACCCAACAAAATACTATTAAAAAGTTCCTTTAATGGCTCTATCATTTCTTCAGATAAGATCTTATAATACCTAGAAGTCAGTCCATCTGTTCCAGGAGACTTTCCAACTTTTAACTGCTTAATAGCTAAACCAATTTCCTCCACAGTAATTAAACTATTCATCCCATTTTGTTGTTCCTCTGAAAGTCTAGGAAAATGTACTGATTGTAAATATTTATCTATATCCAAACCCCTTATGTTATCACTTGAATATAATTTTGTGTAAAAGTCCAAAAAGCTTTTTCTAATCAAATCTTGCTGAAAAACCTCAGTACCTTTATATTTTACTTTCTCTATGATTCTAGCTTTCTGTTTCTTTCGTAACTGATAAGCCAACCACCTCCCAGGCTTATTCGCATTGCAAAAAGTATTATGTCTCATATACGACAGATTGGTAGCCACCTGATCTGCCATCAACATGTTAAATTGTTCCTTAAGCATCTTTATGGATACCTTTAAATTATTATCAGTAGGGTTAAGAACCAACTCTTGTTCTTTTAATTTAATCTCTTCTTCTATTTCTCTACGTCTTTGTAACCCTTTTCCCCTAAAAACTTTATTCAACTGAATCAGGATTCCCCTCATATATGCTTTACTAGTGTCCCACACCATAGACATCAATGTTCCCTTATTCATATTTATAATAAAAAAGTCCTTTAAATGTTCTTTACACTTTTGTACGAACTCCTCCCGATTAAATAAGTTCTCATTCAGTCTCCAAGATCTTCTATTCCCATCTTCCGAATATAACTCCATCCACACAGGACTATGATCTGACAATGTTCTAGGAAAAAATTTCACCTTCCTCATTCTAGGGAGGAAGTCACTAGTAATAAAAAAAAAATCAATCCTTGAAAATGACTGGTGTCTATCAGAATAAAAAGTAAAGTCTCTGTCACTTGTATTCCTTTCTCGCCAAATATCAATAAGCTCCAGTTCTTCCTTCAAATCAAAGAAAGTCATAGGTAGTTTAGTTTGAATAAAAGTTTTAGAGGAACTTCTTTTGTCTATGGTTGGGTCTAGAACCCCATTCCAGTCACCCATCAAAATTACCGATTTATAATCCAACTGAGATATCTTGCCATGCAGCAACTTATAAAATTGTTTCTGTTGTTGATTGGGAGCATATAGTCCAACAATAAGAACCTTTCGGCCTTGTAATAATAATTCCACAAAAAGATATCTTCCTTCAGAGTCAGCCTCAATTAGTTTAGCTGAAAAAGTTTTCTTCACATAAATTACCACTCCCCCTTTTTTCCCAGGGGCTGGAGCAGTAAAATGTGAGCCCAGACGGGAATTCATCAAGAATTTAGAATCCTTTAAAGTTATATGAGTCTCCTGCAAACATATCAAATCATTATTATGTTGTTTCAAATAATGGAATATCTTTCTTCGTTTCTGTGGCACATTTAAGCCATTAACATTCCAGGTCAGGAACCTGACCATCTCCACCGGCCTGGAGCCTCTGGAGCATAGCCTGCAAATCTGCTGTCGAAGATCTTTTTGGTCTTGCCCCTCCCACAGGCTCTGTAGCAACCAAACTTTCACCACTCTTCTGCAACTGCTCTTTTTCTTTACGTTTATGGGCAGCACGTGTCATCCTTTGCTCTTTTATGTCAGAATTCTGTGCAGCTTGTTCCATAACCATCATTGATGAGGCTCCTGCCATAAGAGACTCTTACGTCATCCTTATTTGTGGAGGTGGTGACAATCTTACTTTTAAGATAGACTGATAAAAATCTCTTGCTTTGGAAACAGTAGTTAATCTATGACGTATCCCTTCATAATTTACTATTATTCCTCTTGGAATCTCCCATCTGAACTGAATTTGACGATGTTTTAGCTCATCAGACAAGAAAGTAAAATCTTTTCTGGCTCTTAAGATTTTTGGAGGTATCTCTTTTAAAATTATCACATCTTGATCAGCAATTTGAAACTTTTGTTTGTAAAAAGCCTGTATAATTTCATTACGGATAGATCTTCTGGAAAAATAAATAACCACATCTCTTGGTAGATTTCTCTGTCTAGCAACCCGTGAATTAACTCTAAAAAATTTTTCTATCTCATTCTCAATTATTTCAGGCCGCCAGCCAATATTAGGAGCAATATCTTTCACAATAAGCATCTTTAAGTCCTCCTGAGAGTTCTGTCTCAGGCCTCTGATACGCAATGCATGTTCCATTTCCCTATATTGTGAAATGATTTGTTCATCCTGTGTAATTTCTATCTTGTTCTCTACCTCCTGCATTCTAAATTCCATCCTTGATGCATTTTCAGTAATCTTTTCCATCTGGTCATCAATCCTCTCTATGTGCAGGGCTAAGCCCTGAAAGGCCAGAAGGATATGGTCTCTTACTTGTTTGTTCTTTTTCTCCAATAATTCTTCTGTATTAGCCCTCTCTGCAATTATAAGATCTTTTACCTCCTCCTTAATATCCAAGGCATGCTGTTTTAAAGCATCTTGTAAATCATTAAGAGAAATTGCAGGAGGAGGAGGAGAAGGTGGAGGTGATTTTGGTTTCTGAGATGCAGGCTGAGGCATTGGAGAAGAAATAGGAACCTTAGGGGCGGGAGGCAGACGTTTTGAAGCCATTTTCTAAAGTTCCAAGAAGAAAGATTCTTATTGGAAAAAAAAAAAGGCACAGTTCTTTTAAATATTCTTAGAAAAAAAAAATAAAGAAGAAAAAAGAAGAAAGAATAAAAATCAAATTCTTACTTCTGTGTTTAAAAAGTTAATCTGTATCCAAGTTTAACTTTGTAATGCAAATCAGACAAGAAAGATGATCGCCATTTTACTTTCCATTTTCCCTTTCTTCTAAAGGGAAAGTGAACAAAAGAAGAGGAAGAGGAAACTTGCTGAGGTTAAAGGCACCATCAAATTTGAGCATAGTCTCTCCTGGTCTGCTCCGTCTGCTTTCAAATACTCACAAGCAGCTGGAAAAAAAAAGCAGATATGGAAGCGGCAACTTGCTTCATCCCAAAAGCTTCAGAATGAAGTCTCCCTGGAACGCGGAGTTGCTCAGGCTCCGAGGGAGCTCTACCCTCCGATCCCCAAAATAACAGGAATCCAGGGGAGCTCTTACCTCTACCTGAGAGCTCTCCTCCTCCCTTTTTCTCAGGGAGGAGATTCAAGCCGTGGGACAGCTGATTGTCAAAGTCCCGCGGCTTTTACACGCACCAGGAACGGGCAGCTTTGTAAAACGCTGCCATTCGTTGTCGCTGGAACCACCGGAAGCCAAAAGATTTTTAAGAGAAAGATAAAGTTTACTTCGCAGTTATTTTTGTTGGGTATTATTGTAGATTTTGATGTTAAAGAAATCAACTTGTTGTTGAATCTTATAACAGCTGCAAGATTATTAGTGGGGCAATATTGGAAGAAGAACTCTCTGCCTACTATGGAAGAATGGATACTTAAGGTGTCTAATTTAGCAGAAATGGCAAAAATCTCCGCCTATTTAAAGGATCATTCACAAGAAAAATATATTATGGTTTGGAGAAGATGGATTGATTACATTCAAAAGAGATATGAAACTGAAAAGTATTATCTTGCATATGAGTAGACTTTAGATAATTATTAATAGTTTTAATTATATTATTATTTGAGTTTATAATTTGTTAACATTTGTTTTGAAAAGGAGTTAAAGTGTGTTATGATTTGATAGTTGGTTAATGTTAGTTAGATTATGTTTGTTTATTTGTTACCCTGTAATCAGCTCTGGGAAGTGGGGGAGGAGGGGGATGGGGTGGGAGGGGTTTATATTGTATTAAATTTGTAAAACTTTTAATAAAAAAAAGACTTTTACAATAGATGATCTATTAATCGCCATCAACTGTGGCAGAAACTGAGCCTTTGTTTATGCATATTTTCTAAGACACTTAACTGTTCACTGCTGGAAAGCAAACAGATTAAAGAATTTTACTTTATTTCATGTTGGCAGCTTCTATGTATAGAATGACAGAAACTTGGCAGCATCATGGTTCAGAGCAAGAGTAAAAAAAGATATGGTGTCCCAGTTTGTTGCTGGATTACATTTTCCACCAATAGCTATGCTCACATATGTTGTCAGAAGCTAGAAATCAAAAACATCTGCAGGCCGCATGTTATCCTTCCCTAGTTTCAGTAAATCACATTTCCTGACTCTCACCAAGCTATAAGAGCAGGATGCTCGGACTTCAAGTTAATAGTAGAATTAAAAGATATACATAACTGTACATATAATTGTATATATAATTGTATTGTATAGAAGATGAGGCTTATATACAAGTTAAGAACGATGTATTAAACTTTTGTACCATGATAGGAACTGATAGGAAAATTCATTCTGGAATGTCATGTTTGTCCATTGTTGTTTTAATTGTATTATGAATAAAATTTTTTTTAAAAAAAGCTGTAAGAGCAGGATGCTATTAGACATCCCCTACCTGACTACTTTGGAATCTTTGCAGACAATATGGAGCTGGAACATATCCCGACTCTCCACGCTTTCCATCATTCTCAAAGGCACCTAAAAACAAAAGCAAGGGATGAATGAACAGGTATGTTAACACTCAAATAAACAAAAAGCTAGCTGTCAAACATGTGTCAGTATTCTAATGGTATTATGGAAACAACAACATTAGTTGTAAGTTATAGTAGGAACAGGAATAAACTCAATTTGGCATGTAGCAGATTTTCTTAGTAATATAGGGATAGTATTGAAGAGATATCAAAGCAGTTTCTAACTCATCTTTTTCAAACAAACTTTTACGAACAATTAACCATGTCCATCAACTGCACCCTCACCTGGACTGGGAGGTCCATCACAGAGTGGATTTGCTTATATGATTCATGGACTACTGCAATGCACTGTAGATGGGCCTACCTTTGAAAACCACTCAGAAGCATAAAAATGTCAACTGCGTGGAACAGCATGCAACAGCATGGGCAATTATGGGGACATCTCATAAGACCCTTATAACACCTTTGCTCCATGGTTGACTAGTTACCGGAAGGCTTCTGGGTGCAATTCAATGTATATTATTATTTATAAAGCTCATAGCACAAGGGCTGGTTATATAAAGGACTATCTGCCTTCTGTGGCTTTGATATGGCTTGTATGATTGGGCAGAGTTGACATCCAAGTCCTATCCATTAAGCAGTGTCACCTGATGGAGGGAGGGAGGGAGGGAGGGAGGAAGGAAGGAAGGAAGGAAGGAAAGAAGGAAGGAAGATTAAAGTGTCCGATGTATGGTAAAAAAGATATAGACAATGAATATCGGAAATGCTTGAATCTCGGTGCAATTAGAAACCATATTTTATGATTGAATATGCACAGCTTACTCCTTTCAAAGCACATGACAATCTGAAGCTATAGCTTTCCCATAAACAAAGCACAGATCATGCTAAGAGTTTGCCTTCATGAAGGCAATTATTCCTTAAAGAAATAATACCCAAATTGATAAATATTCTCTTTGAAACATTTTGCAAGGTATGGTGGGTACCTCACTTGAGCCATCTGAAGCTCTCTGATCAAGAGTGGTAAAGGACAGGGCAGAAGTCCCCAACCCACAGGGCCATGCCCCACTACTAGGCCGTGGCCCATTTGCAACCAGGCTGCACAAGCAGTGGATGAGTGGTGGGCGCTTGAGAGCATGCCTGCCACTTATACAAAACCATTCCCTCCCCCCTGCCAGGCCACAAGCTGGAAAGGTTGGGGACCACTGAGACAGGGGACTCTTCAAGTTTGCTTTGTGGCTCAGTGGAAGGATAAGCTACATAATTCGTTTCAAAGGGAAAGAAAGATTAACACAGGAAAGTATAGGCTCTTCCAGAAATAACCACTTAATATATTAACAAGACTTACATTGATTACGGAGTCCTTAAACTTGATATGGAGCCGATAGTTAGAGATGGCAATGATGGCATCACTTGCATGGCCAAGATATTCCACACCCTCTCCTTGTAGCACAGTAAATGGAACCTAGAAAAGGGAAACTCACACATTAAAGTAGTTGCCCATTAACCAGACAAGGTTACAGGGAGATATAGCATACCCCCATATAACCAATGGAATGCTCTGTTCAGAAAGAGATAGATCAAACACTTGTTTTCCAGCCCAAATTTCTAGTATTAACTTTCTTCATGTGCTGCAAATACATTATCTGAAAAATCTTTTATTTCAGTTTGTTCCTACCTGAATTATAATATCATCCTCAGAAATTCTACTCCAGGTGCCCCCCAGCTCTGGTCTCTTTTCAGTGCCAAGCAATTATGCTTTATTCTCTCAGGTATTTTAACATTTTAATATTAATTTTTTTATGTGGCAAATGAAGCCTTCTACTACATTACATTTTTGAATTTTTTACTCCCACCTAGAAATGCATGTTTCAGCAGGTGGTGATCTCTGGGTAACGATATCTAGGCTCAGAAATCAGCAAGGTCAAGCCTGGTTAGTACTTGGATGGGAAACTACCAGGAAGTTTCATGACAACAGGTAGTCTTTGACTTACGACCACAACTGAGCCCAAAATTTCAAGCATGGGAAAATCAGAAGTCCAGGCAGTTCAAATGAACATAAAGATTTATTGTAAGCTTATGCTGTCTACAAGAATCTGAACTACTAATGGCCAAAGCAAATTGACAGTAGATAAGAGTCAATGGAATTCAAGATGGCTTGGACTTAGATGACTTGGGGTTACAAAGGGACTTAAGACTGATGACATGTTTGACCCCTCCCATGGGCTTAGCTGGCTCACCTCCTACATTTCCATTACTAAGCAAGATGGTTGTTAAGTGAGTTTTGCTCCATTTTATGACCTTTTTGCCACAGTTGTTAAGTGAATCATTGCAGTGAAGCTAGCAACATGGTTGTTAAATGAATCTGGCTTCCCCACTGACTTTGTCAGAAGGTTGCAAAGGGTCATGTGACCCTGGGACACTGCAACAGTCATAAATGCATTCCAGTTGCCAAGCGTCTGAATTTTGATCATGTCACAATGAGGATGCTGCAATGGTCATAAGTGTGAAAAAGTCATAAGTCACTTTTTTCAGTGCAGCTGCAACTTCGAACGATTATTAAACGAATATTTGTAAGTAGAGGACTACCTGTAAAGGCTACAGTGAGAACCTGAAAAACATCCCAGAAGGGAATGGCAAACCATTTCTCTACTTCTACCAAGACAATTACATGGTGATGTTTCTTCTGGTCCCCAGGACTAGTACTTAAGTGGAGATTGCTTTTAATTTTGGAAATTGCTTTTGCTTTAATATTTTGAACTTTAGCCTGCTCTTTTAGCTTACATTTTTTAGATTATGATTTTGAAATATTTTGTGAACTGTCTTAGGAATGCTTTTATTTTGAAGAAAGATACTGTATCCCATTTATATCACTTAAATAAGTAACATTTCAGGCCAAAAGCATTGTCACTGGTACAAGTGTACGGAGAATGACAACATCTATTTGGGAATGACTGGGACAAATAAGAAATACTATAATAAAGAAATCCACAGAGATCTATATCATGAAGAATGATACCAGCTCTACTATGTATTTATAGCATAAACGGATGCACAGCAATTAATGCAACAATAAATGCACAACAGTTAAAACTTCTGATGTATGTAGCCATCCTAAAATTAAAATTAAGAAGTAAACTACTTTTATTTTTTCTTCAGTTCTAAAATAATATCTACGGACATACTTTAAAGCGACATCAATAATTAATTGTCTGAAAGGTCTTTGTCGTTGGTCTGCACTATATTTAAGTTGAAGTAAAAATACTTTTTTCCAGCTTTAATATTAAAGGGATATCTTTCCTATTAGCTAAAAATGTTTTCTATTTGATTTTTATTGGACAAGTAGAAAATTTAACACATCCAGTGTTGAACATAGGTCAGGATATTCCCGCAAGACTGGAGTGCAATTTAGGCCATGCTGCTTCACTCTGAAAAACACAAGATGAAAACTATATATTTTAGTTTTTCAGTGTTTTGCAATAATGAAAGTGGAAACTAACTAGAGGAATTGATTATTTTAAGCTGTACCATTTTGTATGCTTTAGAAAATGATCCAATAAAAAAATCATTGGGAAAGACTGTTGGGTGATTTTCCTGAATTCTTCAAACATATTTGAGCAGAAGGACAATATGTACTAATTTACTTAAAACCCATCCAAAACAATTTAGAGAGATTATGATTCATATAGTACAATTTTAGTGCAACAGAATATCACATGGATTATCTTCATAGTTGATTCTTGATGAATTGCTGAAACAGATTAAAGGAAAATTTGTTGCAAAGATTTCCATGAGATTCACCTATTTCGAATTCCAGTTAATTTTCTAACTCAGTTATAAAAATATGTTTAATAAATCTGGATTGCATTTGCAAACATGTTTTAAAAGCCATCGTGGGAAAGTCTTTATTTTCAAGGGTGCATATAATTTTTTAATAAGAAAGTGACTTCCCTAATCAAATGCACTGTCACTAACACCTTGGCAGAATATTAGCAGAGAATGACAACATCTGCTTGGCAATGATCAGATAAGGAATAATGGATATATTACAAAAACAGCAAATTCTAACACCACTATCACCATCCAACAGGATTTCAGCTCTACTGTCTACCGGTAATGCAAAGAGATACCAATTGGACCTAGTTTTTATATAGTATCTTTTATATTGCCCCCCCCCCATCCCAGTCTCCCAGATTGAACCTTTCAGTTTCTTTTTCCCTCACTTCTAAAATAAGAACTTATATCTGCATTTTTAAACATTATTGAGGGATAACAACAATTGATTTTCTGAAAGTACTGGTTGTCAATCTGATGAGACTCAGTGCTTAGAGTGCTTAAGATGCTGAACCAGGTTCAGAGGAGACCCAGATTCTTCCTTAAGCAGAGAAATCACATGAGTGACCTTAGATCAGTCACTCCTGCTTATCCCAAACCAGCATCACGCTCCACAACATGCTGGGTGAAAAATGAAACCCTTTGTCACATCATGCATTAATAAGCTTCACTGTAAGAACCAGGTGAGTAGAGTGCAAAAGGAACAGACAAAATAACTAAACAGGAGAATAACAACCTGGTTGTCAGTCTATGTTGCATTTGAGATGAATTGCAAAAGGCAGGGGGTTTGTTTCTGTTTAAGCATCAAGGACATCTTCCTTAATGAGTTAGAACAATGGTGGCGAACCTATGGCATGGGTGCCAGAGGTGGCACTCAGAGCCCTCTCTGTGGGCACGCATGCCGTCGACCCAGTCCTAGACCTTCAGCTGGGTTTTATAAAACCTTTTTGCTTTAGGCCTCTGCTGTGTGCAAAAAAAAAAAAAAAAAAGGTTCAAACAATCAGTCAATTTCAACTTCTTGCGGTAAAAAAAAAAGATCTTGCAAAGTTGGAATTGATTGATTGAACTTTTTAGTCCCACCCAGTCTGCCGTTACCACGGCAGCCACGCTCACCCAATGGGTCACACCCAGCCAATGGGCCACACCCACCCGGCACCCGACAATGCATAAGTAGGCTTTGGGTTGCAATTGGGCACTCGGTCTCTAAAAGGTTCGCCATCACTGACTTAGAAGTAGTTTTTGTTGAGGTTTATTTCTTTGCTCAGATTAACTGGAAAATTAAAACTCACAGGTCTATATGAAAATAGATCAGGGATATGAAATCTGCACAAGAGTGTATAGATAGTTCTCGACTTACAACAGTTTGTTTAGTGACTCTTCAAAGTGGCAATGGCACTGAGAAAAAGTGACGTATGACCGTTTTTCACTTACAACCATTGTAGCATCCCCGTGATCATGTGATCAAAATTTGGATGGTTGACAGCTAGTTCATATTTATGGTTATTGCAGTATCCCGGGATCATGTGATCACCTTTTGAGACTTTGCTTTTCTGACAAGCAAAGTCAACGGGGAAGCCAGATTCATTTAACAACCATGTAACTAACTTAACAACTGCAATGATTCACTTAACCTGTGGCAAGAAATATTGTAAAATTGGGCAAAATTCACTTAACAAATGTTTCGCTTAGCAACAGAAATTCGGGGCTCAACTGTGGTCATAAGTCAAGGACTACCTGTACTGCAATTCCATATTTAATTAATATTTTCACAGCTCACTTTATGTCTTTGAAGTAGTTTTCTCTCTCACAATTCTTTATGGCCAAAAGTGATGTAGCAAAACTTAAGGAAAAGCTCAAAAATACCTCACAGGAAGCAGGTGAGGCATTTCTTTTTTTATCACTGCTTTTTTTAACCTAAAGGAAGCCGTAATGTAAGTATGCTCATACCTAGACTAGCAAGTCCCAAACTGACATGCACCCTTTGTTTTATCTGACTATATGGACTTATTATGAGATGTAAAATAATTTTAAATGTCTTTAAAAAAATTACACAAGCCAAAATAAAAAATGCATGTTTTAAATTCATTCCCGTGAAATTTTAATTATGTTGTGCCAAGAACGCCCATTCTTGGATTCCTCTTCAAAGAAACATTTGCCAGTCTCTAGAGGAAAGAAAAGCTCATTAACTGGATGACCAATGACCCTACTTTTCTCTATAACCCCTTTTTTCCTAGGGCTCACGGGAAGATTCACCCTCTCCTGCAAACTATCACTGAGGAAATATGCTCAATAATGGTAACACTGAAATTCAATAATATCATTTTTATACAGAATTCAATTATATGACCATTTTAAAATCAAAATAGGAAAAAACCCAACCCTGTTAAGTAAATTAATCTCCTTAAATCATCCTTATAAACCAAACCAAGATACAACGGCTATATGCAGAAATCTGATTAGCAGTTTTAAAAAGTAATTTAAAGTTAAAGGACAAGAAATGTCTGGCTATATATCAGTCAAGCTGGAAAGCTAACAGCTTTTGCTTTCAACACTTGTATCCATCTAAGGCAGCGGTTCTCAACCTGTGGGTCGCGACCCCTTTTGGGGTCGAACGACCGTTTCATAGAGGTC